GGGGTGCTGGTTTGTTGTTCTGTAGCTGAGGATTCACTTTTAGGTGTTATCTTAAGATCTTTCCCTTTCGACAATTTTAAATGTATAAATATAGGCCTGTAATATCATTAAATGTATTATTTAAGAACATTCTATTTCATTTATAAGTATATTAATTATAATTAATAATTCATTTTAATATTTTAATCTTAGACATTATAGATAAACTCTAAAAAGTTTGCATGACACAACAAGCTTTGGTAATACTTAATAAAATTAACAAACATTATGCTCAACAGGTGAATAGTTAGAATGTCACTGTTTAATGTAATTTAATATAGTTCATATATGGCGAATGTACATAAACTACAATAGTTAACTAAATAAAGTTTGTAACTTAGTTGTATATTGTCATGTTACCTAAATTTTTTTATTTGAGTCTAAATATTATTTAATATGACTAAATCAAACATTAGACTACATTAGATTGCACCAACAATAATTTGATGGGTTTGATCAAGTGGAAATGGATCCTAAATGTACCAATTGTATGTTTTTTTTTTTTAAGTATTGTGTACATTTTACTAAACATTATTGTAAAATTATATAGACATTTCTATCTATTTGAATTTAGGCTATAGATAATGGACTTTTATATTAATTATTTATGCTTGGTAATGAGTTACAAGTGAAAGTTTTATTGAATTGTTATATGTTATCACTGTCAAACATTTTAGGTAGCCTAACCTAAAATATGTTTCATGTGGTTCATATTTAAATTAACTGGTTTTGTTAGTTGAAAATCGAAAATATAATTCAATAGGACTTGATCAAAAAAGTCATTTTAATGGTAACTATGAACACTTTTTACAGTGTACAGTGTACTGATAAGTTTTCATTCCCCCCAAAGTCAAAGCAACGGTTCATTTATAAGATGTGGCTCACCTACTACAACATCCCAAGTCATGGCTAGAAAGAAGCGGAGAGGGGTAATTCATAACTTTTCAGATAATTTTCATATTTGTTAAAATACTTAAATATTTAGAATACTGATACATTGTTGATTATTTTATATATTGCAGATCATTGAGAAAAGACGGAGGGACCGAATAAATAATAGTTTAACAGAGTTACGTCGTCTGGTACCAACAGCATTTGAGAAACAGGTGAGTTCACATCCCTGTGTGCTTTATTCTGCTTTATGAAAGTATTATTTATAATGATAATTATAATAAATTAAAAGTAAGTGGAAGAGGATGTTGCCACATTATTTCATCAAAGCTATCATATTAAAAACATATCCTATTTCTTCTCCCAAGGGATCTGCCAAGTTAGAGAAAGCGGAAATATTGCAGATGACAGTGGATCATTTGAAGATGCTCCAGGCCACAGGAGGAAAAGGTAGACTGCTTGTTATTGGCTCCTGTTTTGCACTCCACCTAATGCCGTAGAGCACAGAGTTCCCTTTTGACCAGATTAAAGTGGAAATCAATGTTAATGGTAGGATTGAACTCGTGGGAAAGTGCCGGCAGGACAAAAGAAGCACTTGACCCTGGGATTGTGTTTGCTTTCATAAATCCATGGGAGGGGAGTGGGGCCACATTCACAGGCTGCACTGTTGGGGGTTTGTTAGGCCTTTCCAATGAGTGTTAAAACCGAAGCAGAGGGGAGACAAAACAAACATACAAACAGGTCAGGTCACAATTCTAGTCTGCTTAGGTTTAGCCTCTCCAACACAGTGGGGTTGCATTTGATTCATCATGATTAAAGTCTCACTTCTCTCTGTCTCTTTCAGGATATTTTGATGCTCATTCTCTGGCCATGGACTTCATGAGCATTGGCTTTCGGGAGTGTCTGACTGAAGTGGCGAGGTATTTGAGCTCCGTGGAAGGTCTGGACTCCAGCGACCCGCTCCGCGTCCGCTTGATTTCTCACCTCAGCAGCTGCGCCTCTCAGAGGGAAGCGGCCGCCATGACCACATCCATAGCCCATCACCAGCAGGCCCTCCACCCGCATCACTGGGCTGCCGCTTTGCATCCCATCCCCACTGCGTTTCTGCACCAGACCGGACTTCCATCCTCAGAGAGTTCCTCTAGTAGGCTGTCCGAGGTTCCTCAGAGGGGTGCAGCCCTGCTGACCTCCTCCTTCACCCACAGTGACTCCGCACTCAGAGCGCCCTCTACAGGCAGCGTCGCACCTTCTGTACCGCCGCTCTCCACCTCGCTGCTTTCAATATCTGCAACTGTTCACGCAGCGGCCGCCGCAGCTGCAGCGCAAACCTTCCCTCTGTCGTTTAGCGGATTCCCGCTCTTCAGCCCCAGCGTAACGGCATCTTCGGTGGCTTCTTCCACCGTGAGCTCTTCCGTTTCCACATCCACCACATCCCAACAGAGCAGCGGGAACAGCGGGAGCAGCAGTAAACCATATCGACCGTGGGGGACTGAAGTGGGAGCGTTTTAAGTGTTGGATTTGCTCTCGTTGCATCTGGACGTCTTCCACACTTTGTACATAAAGGAAAGAAAACAGCTATTGTGCCTGCTTTGGTCAGCACCATGGCCTTTTTTTCTCTACACTTCCTGTCCACATATGCCACATCAAATCTGGGAAAGAAAGACAGACTTTTACACATCACACTGCGTGGACACCCGTAAGGATGAAGAGTGATTGTCATTTTTAAAGAAAAATACTATTTTAACTTTGTTTAAAGGACTAGGCTATGGGATAGTGCCTGCATAAACACTGCTAAAATGCTGCAATTGATATGTATGCTTTGATATTTCTCCATAGAAAAGCATATTGTCAGATTTTCACAAACACACACACACACACAGTAGCTTTAGAGTTTAAAAAAAAACAGCTTGTTCAAAGACAAACCAAAGGTTTTGCAGATAATCACTAAAGTGATGTGTGAATCAGTTTTGTAATCTATGATTTAACAATCCAGTTTGTAAATCTGTATATGTGTAAGATTGTAACTAGAGTTTATATTGAAATAGATTACTTAATTGGTATGATGCACTTCAATCACTACTGTTTTGTTTTGTTTTTTTTGGGGGGGGGGGGACGGGATCTTCTCCACTTTACACAATAGGCCTACTGAAATTTGTTAAAAATAACATTCACTAATACTCATATGTGAGATTTTCTACTACTGTAACTTTGTGACCTTTTTAATAACCCTACCACGCTCTGTAAGATGTAACCTTTTTCTATGCAAAAAAGAAAAAAACTGATGTCCCTGAAGAAACTGAGTTTTTTCTTTCATTCTGGCGCATATGCCATAAAAAAATCATTCCATTTGCCTTCACCACAACAGATCGTGGAATGTTATGAGAGAAAGTAATTGTTTTCCCATAGCATAATTTGAGTTCTTGAAATTGTATGGTCGAAAAAAATATTTGCGTTCTTTTATGTGTTTTTCTAATAATGCAAAAGAAGCCACTAAAGTCAAACAAACAACTGCAATTATAAGTGCTACTTCAACAGTTATAAATCTGTCGACAAACTTTAAGTAAGCTGCAAACACATTTATTGAATAAAACGCATACATCAACAGTCAAAGTGTTTACAGTCACCAGCAATTTTTCTAAATATGTTCCCTTTTGTTTATGATATGTCTCAATGCCATTGTATATTGACGCTGCAACAATGTTTTAAAAACAAAAGCAGTTCTCATTTGCTGTTTACTGTTATTTGAAGGCATGGTCCCAAGGTCCCCCTTGGTCCCTCAGGGACAGCTCAAGTCAAAACTTATGTAGCTGTTCTGGCGGGCGTGAACAAACCGCCGGTCGGACTGCAGTGGTGTGCACCACATGAAAGCACAACAACACCAGTCACTCCTCCCCAAGATGGGTCTTTATGCCGGCCTAATCCAGTCCCTTTATGCCAGGGTCTGTTAGACAGATTTACATTAGTAAATCACTGTCACACCATTAAATTCCTTAAGAGAAAAAGTATCAGCATTTCCAAGTGAATGGGGATTAAGGCAAACAGCGCCTGCTACCCACCGGCAATCATGGGAAAAGTGCGAGGCCATAAATCCGCCGGTTATCTGCTTTAGAGCGGCTGGTTCTCACGCCGGGCCCCTGCCTTTGAAGTGGCCCTCATATATCAAGGCCACACATGATCTCCCCAAAACATCACACAGGCAAAGAGTCAGTGGTGTGAACGTGGTCAGTAAGCCTGTCAGCTTCATTACTTTCCACACATGAAAATGGTTTAGCTACTACAAGATGTGCTTCATAAACCAGCCCACAAGATAAAAGCAGCATATAGATATTCACAGCTCAGACAGGTCATTCTTGGCTCAAGGGCACAGTGAGTTTGCACACAGTCATTTAGACTTTTTAACCTCAACTGTTTGGGATTATCTGGAGTATTTAATATTTAATGTGTGTATATATATATATATAGCATTACCTAAGTCCTAACCCTGAACCTACCCCTAAACCAAAACTTAACCCATGGGTTACCTTATATTAACCAGTACTTTCTTAGGTAAGTGCATGTAGGCTACTGTAAAATATTACTTAACAAATTATTTGACATACCTCGGAATACCATGTAAATACTATACATATATACATAACGTAAATGCACAAAATATTGCATCATTTAGTCCTATAGGGAATCTATCAGAGTGCCATAATTATTATCATAAAACTAAATTAAGTGTCATTAGTAGTGACACTACATTAATGATCACACTCCAACAAAATGTTTTAAATGATTAGATGTGTGAAGTCTGAAAAGGCCCCCAAAAAAGTGATCTTTACCAGAGAAATGCTGCCATCTGGTGCGAGATCATTTTAAGCTGTAACTTGTTCTAAATTCGGTGGCTCGTTTTTTTGCAAATACGTGCGAATGGTATTTTTTTAATATTTTCTGATCGAGTTTTCATTTTAGAAAACCACATTGAATAAAAAAGTAAAAAATATTATATTAATGTAAACAGTCATAACTTAACTAATAACCGAGATGGCGTCATTCTCACCCGACCAATCACAGCTTTGCGTTCTTCACGCAGTCAAAACACGGAAGTAAACATCTGGTACTTGGGTACACACATGTTTTGCACTAAATTTGAGTTTACCTGGCAAATGTATTCATTTCTTGATGTACTGTTGTATTAATTGTTGGGAACTTATCGAACTTTCGCTGTTGTTGACAAGAGCTTGGCATTTTACCTCAAACAAAAGAGGTTATTGTTACATGTGATTACATATTTGATGGACTTTAGAGTCAATAGTACAATGACCTAGGCGCTGTTATTTCTGTATTATAACGTTATTTATTAGAGAGTATGAAGTCGTTTAAATCTCCAGGACGTCATGGATATGCGGTGGAGGTTTCACCTTTTGTCGCTTCTACTGTCGCCTGTGCTTCCTCTCAGTATTATGGAATAGCAGGTAATATTAGTTTGCATGACCATGGTTAGATGATATTGACGTAAATGCCACTGAAAACCTCTTTTATGTCTTTTAGGATGTGGGACACTTCTTGTGCTGGAGCAGAGAGAAGCAGATGTTTCACTTGTGAGGAGGTAATTTCCTTTCTTTTAGGGAATTAAATAGAGCATCTGCAAATATGTGTGTGTCATAGATCACCAAAACCACAAGAAACAAACAACAGACTACTGTTTAGTTTATGTATTTATTTGTTATTTGTGAAATTATGTTGCTTTAAGGTAATGAAAATCATCCCACAAATATTACTATAATAATATTACTATGATATACAATTAAAACTGTATTTTACAAATGTACCTTTTTTTGCATTACGAATTTAGAATATTGTGGAAGTTTTCGTAATTGCCATGAAAGTAATGTTCCAATGCAACAAAATTGTATTGGACCTGAAAATGGGTTCTGTTTTCTTTGAGCAAAATATAATGTATTATTATCATCATCATTATTATTTATAATTATTCAGTAAACATCTAGAATCATTTCTTTGCAGATAACACTTTTGTTTTGTATTTTATTTTGAATGCATTGACATTCATACGTGTTTGAGGCCATTGTAAATCCGTGTCATCTTGCAGTGATATGAGGAGTCAGTGATGTGACTGATCGTTTAGAATCTTTTTGTCTCATCTGCAGTTTTGACTGGAATAATGGCCTATTTGATGTGACGTGGAGCGAGAACAATGAACATGTGCTGGTGACGGCAGGAGGTGATGGATCTTTGCAGATCTGGGACACGGCCAACCCGCAAGGTCTTCTCCAGGTGCTGAAAGGGCACACACAAGAGGTCAGTTCACAGTTCACACAAAACAGCATGTTAAAGCTTCCTGCACTTCATAACCTCTAGACTGCTAAACATCTGGGCTTATAGGTGTATTCAGTAGACTGGAGTCAGGCACAGGGAGAGAACCTGGTGGTATCAGGATCTTGGGACCACACGGCAAAAGTGGTAAGTGGAGTTTTATGCCCGGTTGACAGTAATGTCAAAACACACAAGTGTCAGTAATAATGTTTTTACCATGTGTCACTATTGCTTTGTCTGTTACAGAAGGCACTCACTTTACTTTCACTTTACTGAAATTATGAACGATGAATATAAGAATGACAGTGCGACAAATTTACATGAAACACCGCTAGTTATCCTGTCAACTATAACTATAACTGTGTTATCAAAACCAATCTACACATGTATCGGGGAGTGTTTCAAAGAGAGGGTCAAAACAGGATAGGAAATAGCCTATTATTCAAAATGATGATGTTTTTTTAATGTAAAAATATTTCTAACATTACAAGTGGACCTCAAAGAACATTAAATCAAATTTACATTTATTTTAAATAAATGCAGTTCATGACCCCTTTAAAGTCACCATGGCAATTCTTATTTTTTAATGCAATACCGCAGTATGTATTATAAATTATTTTTCCATGCACATCATTATTATATAAAAAAAAAATACAATCATAATAATTACTATTATTATAATTATTAGAACAATTAATCATAATAACTTCCCTCCCTCTTGCAGCAACATCTTATGGAAGCTTGTTTCCACCTCTTTTTATGCACGAAAAAAAGTTAGAATTGAAATAGATAAAATAGATAAAAATTAATTTCCGATGGACAAAATGAAGTCCTGTCCTACAGTGTTTTCTTGTTCGAAAAGCCGTTTCACTCAGATATACATCACAATATGGAAGAAAAGACTATCGCAACTTCCGTTTCATGCCGAACTAAACAATGCTAAATACAAATAATTAAATGCAACTAACCATATACTCATGCATTGTTGGGATACCAAATTAAATAGATTTGTTCAACCTTTGAAAGTGCATTGTTGCTCAAACATACTGCTAATGAGTTTACATGGTTGTCCTGTTTTCCACACAGTGGGATCCGGAGCAATGTCAGTTAGTGAGCTCCCTGCAGGGTCATGAGGGTGTCATATACAGCACCATCTGGTCTCCTTATATCCCAGCATGCTTTGCTTCAGCCTCAGGTAGGATAATGAGCTGTATCTGTTCTCCCATGAAGCTTGGAAGGATTGCTGCTTTCCTTCGGAAAATTGCTGTGTTGGGATGCAGACTAGAAATACTATAAAATTTAGGGGTGATCTGACATGCATATGCAAGTTTGTAGAGCATGTGGTAGAGCAATACCAAAGTAAACTCACACAATGGGTTTGATTCCTAAGGAACGCATGTACTGATTACATTTTTTGGGAAATATGCTGTGTATTATATCAGTACAGGTTACCAGTTCAAGGGTCTTTTTGCTAATTATATTTTGAGGGATGGGAGAGGACAGACAATTTTGATGAGAAGAGGAGGTATGGGATCTTGAAACAGTTGTTTTACTATCAAAAAACTAGAAAGTTTTTTTTAAACTAGATTTTATTAATAATTCGATATATACACATATTGCCCATTTTTATTTTATATAAAGTTTTAGTATTTCTTGTGTTTTTGTCATTTATTAGTTTTTTTTTATGTGTCCATACTTTTTGTTAATTTTTATTTCAGTTTTAGTTATTTTAGTACATCAAATTAAACTAAATGACAATGTTGCCTTGGCAAATAGCTGAAAGAAAACAAGTTTGTCTATTTTATTTGATCAGTTGACATTTATTTTATTTCAAGTATTTTATTTATTTATTGTATTAATAATTGGATCATTAAAATGGCATCACAGGCAAATTATACACTAGAGAGCAACTTATAAGTTACAATATATAAGGAAATACAGTTTGTGTATTGAGACATGTAGCACCATTTCAAAATCTCATTCCCCTCAATATAATTAACAGAAAAAACGAATTGAGGTGCAGACTGAGCTTGAGTTATTTAATTATGTCTAGTAGCCAAATGATTCACCTCATCAGTACCATCATTCACCCCATGAGGTCAGCAGCGAGCTTTCATCATCCTCTTCAGCTCGCTTTTTTTGTTTAGTTTTGAATTTGAATTTAATGTGTTAATTTAGTACAATTAATTATGAGGAAAATAGCCCAAAGTAAACGTAGTTAAAGGGATAGTTCACCCAAAAAATGATTGTGATAAAAAAATGATGAATCTTTTACTCACCCTCAAGTTGTTCTAAACCTTGAAAGAAGTTCTCTCTCCTACTGTTTGGTTACCAACATTCTTTTGAAATAGTTTCCTTTATGTTCAACAGAAGAAAGAAATTCATGCACATGAGTGTGAGTAAATGAACAGATTATTCATGTTTAGGTGAACTGTCCCTTTAGCCATGCCTCCTAACATGTATCTAAATTCCCTTATTCCGTTTTCTCAACAAAAAAATATTAATATGTGCCTCTTTTTTTATAGATTTAATATGTATTAGTAATCTGCTTTTTGATGTAGAATTTAATTTCCAATCGACTGAATAACCCTAGTTTTGATACATTTTGTGCTGGGAAAATGTACAATACATTCATTCATAGTAGAGATCTGCATAGTCATGATTGCGTAATATTGGATATTTGCCCTTTTTTTTGCTTGTACTCTTGAGTCTGCACAGTGATCTGTATATGTGTGTACGTGTGTAAGAAGACTCACAAGGTCACGAGCACACATCTTTTTTCAGATGTAGGGTTGGTGACCACATTGCAGCTCTAAACCAGCAGGCTTTGCCATCAGAGCGCAGGGTTCATCAGCTCCAAACAGCTCTGTCGTGATCTTATCAGCAGCACATTGGGCCTCCAGCACCCACTCACTGCTGATGTGATCACAGAGTCTCAGTGTCTAAAACGAATAGTTCATCTAGAAATCAAAATTGTGCCATCATTTACTCACCCTCACATCGTTGCAAACCTTAATTACTTTATTCTATGGAGCACCAATGGAGATATGCATCCCTTTATAATGCATTTTATGCATGAACGGTGACGAGGAGTCAAGCACCCTTTATTGTGCATCAGACATTAAAGCCTGGCCCTGAATGCATTGCACATACATACACACATGAAGCCCATTTATGGTTCCTTGGAAGATCATAATGCATAAAAACTCATGTTCATTCATATTGAGTTGAGCCCTCTTCATGAGCTGAATTAAGAATAGCACACTCCTTTGCTGATGGAGGACCCTTTTCTTTTGCTATTAAATGTTGACACCATGTATGTAATGAGATGTGTCTGAAAATCAATACTAAATCCCAGTACCTAATGCCGAATGTGATCATGGGAGAAACGGTTTCCATGAAATGCCGCCTCAGCAAAGATGTTTAAGTTATATATATGCTGGCTTTTCTCATCACAGAAACCACTTATGTAAGCAGATAACATAAAGCCAACATCAGGTTTTCACGTTTCATGTATGTGGCAACTTTCCACAGCTTTCATGCACAGATTTAAGAGGGCCGGTTGTGACTCTGAAAGAGTTTATTGATAAACATCAGGCTTGCAGAAAGTTGCATTCCTTATGTCTCTTCAATATGCAGATGCCAAATTGGTATTTTGGTATTTCAGTCTGACCAGTCTTTGCATGGACACTGACGTCAGTACCTCCACATGACTCATAGCTTGCAGGTCTTTGGTGAGACAAAAAATACACCGAATTTGCTAGTTCATGGTGTGTGATGTAATGTTGGCATATTTCATTATATGAATATTTAAATAAATATTAATGATACAATTCTCTCTTAATCTTGTCTAAATCAAGTTAATTTTTATATATATTAAATTAATTGTATTAAATGAGTTTTGGGGTCAGTCAATGAATACTTTTATTCAGCAAGGACACATTATATATTGATCAAAAGTGATAGGAAAGGCATTTATAATGTTATACGTATAACGTCTAATCTTTTGAACTCTATTCATCAAAGAATCCTGAAACAAAAATGTATCACAACTTCCACAAAATTATTAACCAGCACAACACTTCAACATTGATAATAAAAATTAAATTTTCTTGAGCACCAAATCATCATATTAGAGTGACTTTTGAAGGATCATGTGACACTGAAGACTGGAGTAATGATGCTGAAAATTCAGCTTTGTCATCACGGGAATAAATTACATTTTAAAATGAATTAAAATAGAAAACAGTTATTTTATATTGTAATATTATATATGTATATGTACATATTGCTTAAATTGGATTGTGTATGTATATAGTAGTGTAAATCTTTTTAATCTTACTTAGATTTTCTATTTTGTTGTCATCTGATAATGTATTCAACAGGGCCTAGAAGTGCCTTGAAGAGACAATTTCAGCACCTCTCTTATCCGAGATTTCACCTCCTCCCGCTCAATGCAGTGATAGCAGGAGCCCTGGCTTCTCTGACGGGGATGCCAATGAAATCTTTAATGCAAAACGCTTGCATGCCGACAATCTCAGTAAGAGATCTGTTCCTCTATAATTAAAATAAAAGTGCCTAAAGCAGACCATATATCAAAGTTATTGTTAAACTTGAGCTCATTAAAATATTGACATAATTAATCTTCCTCAAAACCTTGAAACAATTTTTATTTCCATCTACAAGCTCCCTCCTACACATTGAGGCCCTGTTTGTGATGTTTTCTGACATATTCTCATCAGCTTTTGGAGCTGGAGTGTGGAGCCTTGTGATTTAAAGATCTTAGTTGAGGATTTGAATCAATTATTTTCACACAATATTTGCTGAAAAGGTTTACTCATCGTTAACATTTTCATAATTGAAAACAATAAGATTTGTATGGTGGATGTTCATATTTTAAAATCAAAGTCTGCATCTGTCACAAGGGTAAAATCATAAAATCTATACATAAAAGGATTTGAAAAATATTTTAACAATAGATGATGTAGGCAATAGGCATAGCAAAGTTTGGTAATACTATCGAGTTACAAAAAGAAAATCATAATCATATCTATAGGTCCTATATTTTAGATTATCTGACACTTTTTCCTGATGCTACAATGTTAAAATGGAAAATGGAACCATGTTGCAGTATATCGTGATACAAAAACACCACTCTGTTTAAATCTTCCTAGAGTACTTTAAAGTGTTTATGGGATAGGCTTAATTTATTGTGACTGCGCAGCTCAGGCAGGAACTCCCTGCGGGTCGCACTTCAGAGTGACTTTTATTTATTCCATCAGTTGCAAATCACCAAATCAATAGGGGTTACAATAGTCATTGGCATAAGTCTCCTGAGATGTAATTAACTAGAGTAGGGCTATTCATTTAAATGGCGATCTATTGGATCGTCAATAAATGCAATGTATTTTGATACCGTATTTAGGATTGGGACATATTTTTTTTAACATGTTTACTCCAGACTTGGTTTGTGTGCTACCGAGCTAGTGTGCTGCTATTTGAGTTATCATTCATGTTCGTGCTGCAAATGGTGCAAGATGAGATGCATACCAAAATTGTAATACTTTAGGGGTTTGTTCTTGCCTTAGCACACTTTTAAATGGTCACCACAAAATCCAAACTGACAATTCTTATTCTTTATGGAATATTGGATAAATGACTTATATGTGCATATCATTTTCTTTTTAATTCATGTGCCCTCATAATCTTTAATCAAAATAGCTTCCCCTCCCTCTTGCTGTGACATCTCTTCTTTTCTCTTATGACGTGTTTGCTGGCATGAGGGCGGGACAACCTGTCACTCACATGACATCACACCAATAGCAAACCACAACCATCCAATCAATTCCCTATGAACAAAATCAAGTCCCGCCCTACAGTTTTTCTTGGCTGAGAAGCCGTTTCACATTTTTACGTCACAATATGGAAGAAAAGACTATCGCAACTTCAGTTTCATCCCAACTTTAAATATTCATTATTGTCTGTGAGCTTTCCAGATATGCATTAATATGGTTATGATGTGTTTATGTGGTGCTTACTTAATGCTTTAAGCTTCTGCTTGATATATACGGTAGTTATTTATGTTTTTTTGGAACATCCTAGGTTATTCAAAGTGCGACCTGTGGTTTTAGGGATCATATGAAAATGTTTCACCGGGCTGCCTGTTAGTACTACATTTATACTTAAAAAGTGAGTGATTGGAACATTTACTGCTTACTTCAGAATAGAAATTCTGTGCTTCAAGAAGGTAAGATAAAAGGCATAAAAAGAGATATGACTGAAAAAAATAAGAAAAAATCTGTGGCCTGTGCAGCGTACAGAGGACTGGCCGGTGACATTTCCCTCTGCGCCCTTGCCCTGGGTTCATTCATGCTGAGTGCAAGTGGCCCTTGAAATGAATGTTATGGTTCAGAGGATTCTGCTGAGGTCGCAAACTGGGAAATTATATGAGAAATTTTGTGGCTTTTTATAAGATTTAAAGCTCTGACGCTTGAGAATTGATGTTCATCTATGTTGCTATAGGGGATGGGACACTGCGAGTTTGGGATGTGAAAGCGGGATCCTGCAGGCTGGCCATTCCTGCACACAGGGCTGAAATCCTCAGCTGTGATTGGTGCAAATACGACCAGGTGATTATTTCCTTTATTCAGTTCATTCACTGTCTGTGGGCACAAATGGGATTTGAGTTTCAAAACACAGTTTATAAAGCTATATTGAAGTGTAATTGTACAGAAGTTTTTCAGATCACTTAAAGGAGTCATATAATGCTATTTTCATACAAGTTAATTTGATTCTTTAGGGTCTAAATGAAAAGTTTGTAATATACTGAATTAAAAATTCTCATTAGTATTGTAAGAAAACACTCATTTTACCTGGTCAAAAACAGCAGCTCTGTTTTCAGCATGCCGTTTAAGTGCATGTGTCTTTAAATGGTAATGAGCTTCGCTCACTCCGCCCCTCTGTTCTGTGGGGCGTTTTGACACAACACACGTGGAGTGTTGCCTTGACAACAGTTGAGGGTATATTTGGGAGAAAGAATGGCAGCGGGAGTCTCTGAGGACACATCTGTGCAACCGTATCAGTTTGAACCAGAGTTGGACCCGGAACAAGATGACGGCCCGAAGAAGTTCGACAATTAAGGCTCGAACAGGACGTTTCTGAATGGTTGGTTAACGTAATGTCACATCTATCTTTGTATGTAATGACAGGGTAGAGTAGTGAGATACGAATGCTGTGTTTACTATATACGTACACAGTTTGTAATAACACAATAACCATAACGTGTTGTTCATTATAAAGTGGGATTATGAATTATATTGAGAACGTCGTACATAGAAAACATGCCGTAATGTACCCTGAGTGTAAACCTTAGCCGCATTCATCATGAAGCGTGCAGCTAGCGATTTGCAAAGATTAATATAAAGGTTAATAAAACTTTACACTCACTTCTTCTGGAGGTGCAGCAGGAACACGAATATCTGGTACCGATTCTTTTTTCAGGAGCAGCTTCTTAGCAAAACCAGCTTTATACTGATCCTCGTTTATAAAGCAGTCGGTTGTGAAATGATTCGCGCCAAACATGCAAGCATTGTGTTGCTCGTGGGGAATATTCCCTTCGAAAACAAAACTCACCCACTGCATCTTCAGCGGTTCGGATTTAGGAACATCAAAATGACTGCTGTGTTCGTTATTACAGCCAAGAACAGAACACCACAATCGCTTAGACGCCTTTCTGCTCCAGTATATCAACAATGGCGGACTATGATGACAGCTCGCTCAGGGCGGGTCTATGTGGAACATAGACAGTAAAAGAAATGGACACAGCGACCCCATAGACTTCAATGGAGAAAAGTGAAGCCCATTAGAAGCACTCACTTCCTGATTGCCAAGCGCACTGCGCAGGCTCAAACTGAGCTTGATGACGTAGATGTGACGTGAGCAACCTGTCTGACAGTTGTACGTCTTCTAGTAGCTGTGCCAAGAGGAATCTGAATCATTTCCTTCCGAATCTTGCAGAGACGGAGATCGTGAGTATTAGCTGTCCACGAGCTAGCAGAAGGATCAACTTTATGACTCTCTATGGGCTTCTACCTTGACTTTATGCCTCCACGTCCCCCCGATTACGCGCGAGCTTTTACTTCTGTCTATACGGTAATTTCTCTACTGTGCGACAGAGAGTCGCGTGTTATGACGCAATCGTTAGCCTATTTTTACAAAAACTGCTTCTACGTGGCCATAACGTAAGATACAAGGTAATGGAGCCTTTTATACATTGTCGTGTTTCTTTAGAAATAAACAATGGACAAATGGAGTCTTTAAACGCCTCAGATGTAAAGTTATTCGCTGTCAAAGTGACGCCAAAATGAATGGGAGTCAATGGAATGCTAACAGCAGGTGAAGGCTTGCTAGCCAATGGCGGCCCCCGGGGAGACTTCAGTTTCCGGCTGGTGGATTACCCCCTTGGTGTGGAAACGCTGCTGTCAATCAACAATCGTGGGAGGGGCGTCCGACCATGTGACGTCACACGGTCGAAAAGGCCCGATTTGAGACAGGGGAAAACATGGAGATTTTAAAAAAAATGTAGCATACTGTACACTGCACATACTATTAAAAAAAAACAAAAAAACTAGTATGCTGTATAAATTAAATGGTGCGAAGTAGTGTTTAATTCCATTTATATTGTCTTTCAATTATGTAACAGGATCTGAAATGACATTTTCTCTCATTTCTATTCTGTTCTCAGAATGTTCTGGTCACTGGAGCCGTGGACTGCAGTCTCCGTGTGTGGGACTTACGGAACATCCGAAATCCTTTAGCTCAAATGATGGGCCATTCTTACGCCATCCGCAGAGTAAAGGTATTTTTAGTTGGATGGCCAACTAATTTTTAGTATTTTAGATCAAAAGCTGGTCTTAATTTCTTCCAGAAGAGTGTCTTGAATCATGTGATTTCAAGGGCCATGCAAACTTTGTGTAAAAGGAGCCATAACAGTTTGAAATATTCAGCTGGATAAAGGGTGAAGAATCTTACTACATCTGCGTTCAATGTTACATTAGTTTGGTCATTGCTTTGACTTAAATTAACTTAACAAGTCTGTTGAACATTAATGAGGCTTGCAGCAGCTTCTGTCCGTGTGAAACTCAAAGCGTATTTCTGTACTGTATTTGACAGCTATGGATTTCCGTATATAAACGGATTATCTTTAGGGATCTGTGTAATTGATTTGGAGAAAATGTGAGCGCGTGAGTGTCCAAACAGTCAGCAATTATGTCGATTAAAGAGTTCAGTGCACTTTGCACCTGACCAGCCTGCTGCCGAACCTGTGAAGAAAACACACACAAATAGTCCTTCCATCTGATTTTATGCCACTTGAGGATCCTTGTATCTCCAAATGGAGCTGTGGGAATAAAACCCACTCCAGCTGGGTCAGGGTGAAATCACAAGCTGTTTCAAGTTAATGGTTTTGCTCTCAGCTTTCAGGTAATGTTGAAATGTGTGAAATAAGGAGCAAAGAACAAAGAGTTTTGCTATTACACTGGGAATAGAGGAGGGCTGTGAAGCATGAGATTGTGTGTTGCAGAATATAATGATATCAAATAGCTTTGAAATGAACACTTTTTATATTATTATTATTATGTCATCTTATACTGTATCAGTGATGAAGAAGTTCATTCCTTGTCTTTTACATTAACTGTTCTGAAGATTATCAAAAAACTCTTCCTGTAGGGTAATGACAATATCTGTGCTGTGAATATAGATATAAGATCTCCAAGACCTACTGTAAGTTGATCAAATAGTTTTAGCTTGCTAGCAAGTATAGAATTTGGCTGATTTGAAGGGGAATGTCTGATGTCACCATTTCTAGGAAATCACTGACCATTGTATTTTAAATAATAATAAATTCATAATCATAAATTACGTAAAAAGTCTGTTCACACCTCAAACCAGACTGCTCAGCTCTGCTTTTCTGCTCAAATCCATTATCATTATTATTATTATTTATAATAATTGTATATATAATAATTATATATATATATAATTGTAATATATATATATACACTCACCGGCCACTTTATTAGGTACACCTGTCCAACTGCTCGTTAACACTTAATTTCTAAGCAGCCAATCACATGGCGGCAACTCAGTGCAGATGGGCTACAACAGCAGAAGACTCCACCGGGTACCACTCATCTCCACTACAAATAGGAAAAAGAGGCTACAATTTGCAAGAGCTCACCAAAATTGAACAGTTGAAGACTGGAAAAATGTTGCCTGGTCTGATGAGTCTCGATTTCTGTTGAGACATTCAGATGTTAGAGTCAGAATTTGGCGTAAACAGAATGAGAACATGGAACCATCATGCCTTGTTACCACTGTGCAGGCTGGTGGTGGTGGTGTAATGGTGTGGGAGATGTTTTCCTGGCACACTTTAGGCCCCTTAGTGCCAATTGGGCATCGTTTAAATGCCACGGCCTACCTGAGCATTGTTTCTGACCATGTCCATCCCTTTATGGCCACCATGTACCCATCCTCTGATGGCTACTTCCACCATGTCACAAAGCTCTAATCATTTCAAATTGGTTTCTTGAACATGACAATGAGTTCACTGTACTAAAATGGCCTCCACAGTCACCAGATCTCAACCCAATAGAGCATCTTTGGGATGTGGTGGAACGGGAGATTCGCATCATGGATGTGCAGCCGACAAATCTGCGGCAACTGTGTGATGCCATCATGTCAATATGGACCAAACTCCCTGAGGAATGCTTCCAGCACCTTGTTGAATCTATGCCACGAAGAATTGAGGCAGTTCTGAAGGCAAAAGGGGGTCCAACCCGTTACTAGCATGGGGTACCTAATAAAGTGGCCGGTGAGTGTATATATATATATAGAGAGAGAGAGAGAGAGAGAGAGAGTGGGAACATACAAATTTCATGTTATTTATTTAGTACTGTTCTGAATTAGCTATTTCACATAACACGTTGACATCTAGTCCACAAGACAATATAATAACGGAATTTACACAAATGAACCAGTTCAAAAGTTTACATACCCTTGAATCTTAATCTGTGTATTGTTACCTGGATTATTAACAACTGTTTTTATGTTTTTTGATTGTTGTTCATTAGTCCCTTGTTTGTCCTTAGCAGTTAAACTGAGCACCGTTTTTCTGAAAAATCCTCCAGGTTCCTCCTGAGGGGTGCGTCTCAATCAGTCCCCTAGCTCCCTTCTAGGTCATGAATCAGTATATCAGTTTATTGTGTACATGAATTCGGCTGTGGTAAGGACCGTGGCTCACTACACATTGGGACACTGATGACTCTGTTTCCGACGACAGGACAATGTCCTCATTGTACAACATCACCACTGGTATTTATGATCAACAGCAGAACGGATATCTTTCTGACATTATTTGTTTATGTTATTTAAAATACATTATAAATACTTTGCTTGTTACATATACTTGTAACATTTCAGCAGTAAATGAACTGGCAACTAGATTATGTTCATTACCTGTCTAGTGATCTGTTTATGGTGAAATATCATTAAATAGTGGTTTGTATTTTAATAAAATCATCATTATGTGTAGGGGGTTGGCTCACGTGATTTATGTTTCATGCTTCAAAACTTCCGTTAAGGGAACATAGTGAGCTGGATGCTCCCTGGTTTTCATGGGGCATTGTGGGACGTTTTTAGGCAGCAAACGTTTCAGTGCACATGATGAGACGGCCCTTAAAATGTCCGACTCCCTGATCAGTGCTCTGATCACTGAACTGGGGAGCTGATTGAGACCCACCCATTGACTGAAAACTAAACATGACCGTGACACTTACTGCATACTCTGAAAACTGAACAAATATTAAAGCAGAAATTTAAACACATTCTGAGTGTTTTTTGTTGTTTATTCTATCTACCAAATGATGAGAGGATTTGGGCCACATTCAACTTTTTTTTTTGTCCAGCAGCCACTGTATATTAATTCTTCTTTCATTTGTCCATCCTTTCTAGTTCTGCCCTTTTTACAAGACCGTCCTCGCATCCTGCTCATATGATTTCACAGTCAGGTAAGCCAAATGTTTGACCACTGTTCTGTTCTTCTGATTATCAACACAACAGCATGTTTGCAACTTTTTTTTATATACAGTTCTATAAACCTAGTGCAAAATTGTCCTATCAAATTGGAGGACTGGAACTAACTTGTATGATTGGATTAATTAAACTCAGCCACAATGAGTCATTTTTTGGATATGTTATTGTTCTCTCTCTTTCCTGTGAGAGTTTCCATCCTTCACATTTTTTACTGAAATGATGCGTCTTCCATCAAAAACACAGTAAGATTTCTAAAGAACCTTTCCACAGTTTTCCCTTCAAATCTACTCGTCCATGTTAAGGACAGATGATCTTTCCTAGTGGCCTTTGGATGAATGGTGAAGCATTGCTGGCACTGTTGCAGAAGAACTGATCCCTTTGCCATCAAACGGGGTTGTAAAAGCCATTGATTTCATTTCAGGGTAGACTGTTTTATTTCTTTTTGCAGTGGGTTTATTCTGTTAGTGCATGGTTGTGTTTTTATTGAGTGTGGAGATTATTGCATTTTTGCACAGGGAGAATTATCTTTAATAGGACAGTCAAGGACGTATCAGCAGAAATCACTGTTGTAAAGCAAAAGCCAATTTTTGGTTTCATTATTTCCAAGATTGCTGGCTGCCTAGTCGCTGTAATTTGATAAAGGAATCACAAATTAGTTTTATACAAATATACCCTTGGAGTCTTAATAACTGTTAATTGTGATAAAGTCTGATGGATATTTTTAGGCCTTTGAAGAACATACTAAGTATAATACTATAGTTAACAGAAGACTGACATTGCATTTCATGATTTGTATGCCTTTATGCTCCTGCCAGACATCTAGTAATGTTCCAGGTTCAATGAAGCTCTACCACATAATTGTATAATTTAGATAACTCTTTGTGTAGAAAAATTAAGTGCTTTAACAAAAATACTGCTACACATTTCTGTTTTTTTTTATATATATACTAAGGGACATGTGACTGTTGTAATTGACAGCCTGTCAATAAAGCTTGCCTTAACCTGTTTTGAAAATGGAAAATACCATTCCTTAGTTAGTCTATTCTGTTGTGAGAGCCCCATAATTGATAGAGGGATGGATGGTTGTTGTCCCTAAAAAGTGACAACTGATCTTTGCTGTGGCTGTTGGAGAAAGATTGCAGAGAGTACTTTATCTGGGCTGACAAGCTTTTAAAATGAGAATTGACTTGCACATTGAGCAGTGGTCTTATTAGAGGTGAGTTTGATTTTCCTTCCATTGATGCTAGTCACCTTATTGTTTAAACATTGTGTTTATCTAAGCCTGGAGGCTAAATGTGCCGGCCAATCTGTAAATAAACACTGCGAATTTGTGTAGTACGATAATCGAAACCTTTTTATACCACCCAGATCCCAAGTAAAAACAAGAGAAAGAAACCTGTATTAAATTATTCATGCATCCAAAAAGCTGATATAACAGTAATAAATGTATGTTTATGTGTGTGGTGGGGACAGTCTGTATGCTTAAATTTAATTAACATCTATATATATATATATATATATATATATATATATATATGTGTGTGTGTGTGTGTGTGTGTATATGTATATATACACTCACCGGCCACTTTATCAGGTACACCTGTCCAACTGCTCGTTAACACTTAATTTCTAAGCAGCCAATCACATGGCGGCAACTCAGTGCATTTAGGCATGTAGACATGGTCAAGACAATCTCCTGCAGTTCAAACCGAGCATCAGTATGGGGAAGAAAGGTGATTTGAGTGACTTTGAACGTGGCATGATTGTTGGTGCCAGAAGGGCTGGTCTGAGTATTTCAGAAACTGCTAATCTACTGGGATTTTCACGCACAACCATCTCTAGGGTTTACAGAGAATGGTCCGAAAAAGAAAAAACATCCAGTGAGCGGCAGTTCTGTGGGCGGAAATGCCTTGTTGATGCCAGAGGTCAGAGGAGAATGGCCAGACTGGTTCGAGCTGATAGAAGGGCAACAGTGACTCAAATAACCACCCGTTACAACCAAGGTGGGCAGAAGAGCATCTCTGAACGCACAGTATGTCGAACTTTGAGGCAGATGGGCTACAGGAGCAGAAGACCCCACCGGGTGCCACTCCTTTCAGCTAAGAACAGGAAACTGAGGCTACAATTTGCACAAGCTCATCGAAATTGGACAATAGAAGATTGGAAAAACGTTGCCTGGTCTGATGAGTCTCGATTTCTGCTGCGACATTCGGATGGTAGGGTCAGAATTTGGCGTCTACAACATGAAAGCATGGATCCATCCTGCCTTGTATCAACGGTTCAGGCTGGTGGTGGTGGTGTAATGGTGTGGGGAATATTTTCTTGGCACTCTTTGGGCCCCTTGGTACCAATTGAGCATCGTTGCAACGCCACAGCCTACCTGAGTATTGTTGCTGACCATGTCCATCCCTTTATGACCACAATGTACCCAACTTCTGATGGCTACTTTCAGCAGGATAATGCGCCATGTCATAAAGCTGGAATCATTTCAAATTGGTTTCTTGAACATGACAATGAGTTCGCTGTACTCAAATGGCCTCCACAGTCACCAGATCTCAATCCAATAGAGCATCTTTGGGATGTGGTGGAACGGGAGATTCGCATCATGGATGTGCAGCCGACAAATCTGCGGCAACTGTGTGATGCCATCATGTCAATATGGACCAAACTCCCTGAGGAATGCTTCCAGCACCTTGTTGAATCTATGCCACGAAGAATTGAGGCAGTTCTGAAGGCAAAAGGGGGTCCAACCCGTTACTAGCATGGGGTACCTAATAAAGTGGCCGATGAGTGTATATATACTCACTAGCCCTGCCTTAATTCTTTGTGGCTTAGATGTTACTTGATTCCATATTGACATTCACACATTTGCTGCAGATTTGACGGCTACACATCCATGATGTGAATCTCCCGTTCCAGCACATCCCAAAGGTGCTTTATTGGATTGAGATCTGGTGACTTTGGAGCCCATTTGAGTGTAGTGAACTCACTGGCATGTGCTGATTTGAGCTTTGTGACATGGTGCGTTATCCTGATGGAAGTAGCCATCAGAAGATGGGTACAGTGGGATGGACATGATTAGTATCAATACTCAGGTAGACTGTGATGTTTAAATTACCGGTATGCTCAATTGGTACTTAGGGGCCCAAAGTGTGCCAAGAAAATATCCCTCACACAATTACACCACCACCAGGGTGGGATGGATCCATGCTATTATGTTATTTATGCCAAATTCTGACCCTACCATATGAATGTTGCAGCAGAATTTAAGACTCATCAGACCAGGCAACGTTTTTCCAATCTTCTATTGTCGAATTTTGGTGAGCCTGTGTGAATTGTTGCCTCAGTTTCCTGTTCTCAGCTGACAGAAGTGTCACCGGTGTGTCTTCTGCTGCTGTAGCTCTTCTGCTTCAAGATTTGATGTGTTGTGTGTTCAGAGATGCTCTTCTGCAGACCTCAGTTCAGTTGTAACGAGTGGTTATTTGAGTTGGGGCCGGCTCACACAGAACGCGTTTTTCCATTCTACTGCGCTGATTTTCTATTGTTTCTTTATATAAACACACGCTAGACAGACCTGTTTGACCATTGCGTTTGCATCTCTTGTCTTTTGCAGTGGAGCACAATTTATATATTTGTTGTAAAAATCGAATATTTGTTGGAATACATCTCATTTCTGATCAGATTTTCCATAAAATTGCAGTCAGTGTGAATGGCCATATACAAATTGCACAAGGAGCTATATTAGTATTACTGTACCTAAAAGAATTTGGATTGAAAATGTTATATTTGTTCAACTTTTAGTTTGTTGTCATTTTCTCAGTTCATTTAAGATTTGCTTTAGAACTGGTATTTGTGGTTTTGCTTTCATAGAAATCAATTCTAATGATTACAGGAAATTTGCTATTTGAATAGGACAGGCACTCATACTTGACCAAGGTGTCATTTAATTAGTTTTACATTCAGAGTAAACTGTGATGATACCGACCGTGAGGTAATTACCAGAAGTGATTTCCGCAGGAGGAACAGAACAACGTGAATCTTTTTTTGTTCCCTTGCATTAAAGAGAAAAGTGTGTTTATTTAAATACAAAGCCTTTTTGAAGGGTTTGTGTTCAAAAGAACATGTGGGCCACCTGCTGCCACACACACCTAGCTGTTTACTTAACCCAGTCTCCTTTAGATCTGTCAGGTCTCGTTTACGGGAGATAAGGTGTCCTCTTTCATACATAACAGCTGGCTTTTCTGAGTTGCTATGATGGCAGTTGCTAATACGGGGTGCTGTACAGAAGGACAATTGTCTTTCTGTGTGTTATTTAACAACTAATTAGGCTGGGATATTGGTTTCGCTGTATTGTTCCCTGCTTTCTTTCTTTCTTTCAATGACGACAGTTTGTTTAGGTTGATGCATTGCTTTAAACGAAGTACGACAGATATCAGTGTTCTGAATATCAAACTATACTCAAAATAAGAGACTGCGATTTCCCCTTGATTCTGAATAGACATCTAAACTAAATAACATGTAAATTACTAAAGGTTCTGACAAATTTTAATTGCTGCAGTCTATATAAAAAATATTTAATTATTATTGAATTATTATCTTCTTTTTTATCAGTTTGAATGAATGATTCAATGACTCACTCATAAAGACTTCACTCGTTTCATCACTGGTTTTTTGAACCAATGTCGTGAATGATTAATTCAATGACAAACACATAGTCACATGTTGCCACTTACTGGTGTAACGATGGAATTGATGCTATCTTTATTTGAAGCGTCGAGTTACTTTCAAAAGGTGATTTAATCTATACTGAACGCTACCATAAACATCAGTATTTCCGAACTATAAACTTTTATCCCAGCACTTCTGTGATCATTTGAATTATGGTTACACAGAAATAATAATACTGTGTGGCTATTTTATACCTGACAACTGCAATGCAGATTTGGCTGTTCGCTGTGATCGTATTTCTCAAGCGTTTAATAGACATCTAGCGGAATCAATGTCATTTAGAAATAAGATGGGTGTTTGAATCGAGATTGCGTTCTTTTAACGATTAATTGTGCAGCTCTATATGGTTGTATTTAATTTGGATTTGGTCATCTGCATTTTTCTGCACTGACTGTGGGTGAAAATCTGTGCTTATAAATAATATCCTTCACTTCTGCTCTATGGCAATGTTAGTATTAATGCCTGCCTAATGTTTTCTTTTAGACAGGGAGTTTTTTTTCCAGAGAGGTGATTTAATTACATTTGCTGAATGGATCAGTCGGGGCCTGGTGAGCCAGGGCTGCATCAGGGCTTTGAGCCGCTGCCCCGTCAGAAAAGACAAACGGCCGTTCAATTAGCATGATTGCCTTCTGCTGCTTCGCGTCCACAGATTCTGGGACTACTCCAAGAACCAGCCACTGCTGGAGACACTGGAGCACCACTCAGAGTTCGTGTGTGGCCTGGATTTCAACCTGCACATCCCCAACCAGGTAAACTCGCCAAAACACACTACTGGGCAACACTTATTGACTTCACTATAGTGCTCATATACTGTAGGCAACTTGGGTTCAAATCCAGTTTAGCTCCCATTTTCATTCCACCTAATCCAGACGTATCCTCCCATGCTCTCCTTTCAATAAGTGGCAAAAAGGAAATTAATATTAGGAGAAAGTTTAGTAATGCAGCAAAAAAAAGACTCCAAGCAAGCTTGGACTGTAAGCTTAAGTAGTCCAAAAATGCCACATTGTAATAAAGAAAAAATGTCATGTGCATTTTAAGTGATAAACAAATTATTTCATAACATGTATTACAATAATCTATTAAAATATATCTAGGTAAATATTGCTGATTATTGACAAATTTTGTTATATTGGTAAATATAAATGAAAGTGAAATATATTTTTTTCATAAAGAGTGTTCATTTAGTTGTTTTTGACTAAATATTTTTATTTTATTTTATTATTTTATCTTTTTTGTTTGTTTTTATTTTTATTTATTTTTTAGTTTAAAGCTCCAGTCCGCAACTTTTTTGGGTTAAAAATGATCCAAAATAAATTTTTGAGCAAGTACATAACCAGCCAGTGTTCAAAACTCTCTGCTTGCCGTAGCTCGATTCAAAACAGTAAGCTTGTAATAATGTTTTTAATTCCAGTGGTACTGGTGGATTTTCGCGGGAAATTCGAGCATGTCTTTGCGTCATTACGTCACATCTGTACACATAAAGAAGGAGTCTCGGCTAGTAGGCTATTATGTGTGTGAGGATGTTGGAGGTGGAGATTTATAGCCTTTTCTCACAGCACTTGATATAATTAAACTTTTCAATTTGATGGCGGATCCAGAAAGTTTCAAGCAACAATCACCAGTGACAACTGAAGATTCACCTGTTGTAAAATGCAAAAGACTTCGGACTTCGGAGTGGCTACAGAAAAAAAGAGACTGCAACCGGACCCATGCGAAAACAAGGATAAATATCGGAAGGGCATTAAATGTAGTCACGCAATGCTGATGTTGAACATGAACAATTTGAGAACAAATTTGCACGGTTTGACGTGATATGATAAGCGATCGTTAGATTTAAGCAGCACGATTTACTGCAATTATTTTTTTCTCTTAGTTGGTCAGAACAAAAGTGGATGTTACTTACTTGTTCAGATGACAATTTCCGGTGAAAATTCTTATGTTGGTCATACTTCCAAAAAGAATAATCTGTGATTCTGAATGACAGTATCCACACCGGTGCGGTGACTGACACTTCTCCTTAAAACATTGGATTCATCCGCGCAGTGCCATGGCGAGGCACAGCTCACGTAAAGTTGATAATTCCGTGAATAACTGCAATTGCAGATTTCGAACAGAGATGGCGACAAAGAGGAAAAACTACGGACTGCAGCTTTAACTTTATTTACCTTTTTTGTTCGTTTTAATTTATTTTTTTATTTTTTTGTTTGTTTAGTTTAACTTTTTTTTTAAATAAAAAAAATCTACTTGAATCTCCAGTGGGTGTTTAAAATGTATTTCTGATCAAATAATTTTTTTTTTAGCCATTTCATCAGAGCAAATACATAAATATAAGTTATATATCAAATATTGCCAAAAGGCTGAACAATATTGAGATCTGCTTGTTTAATACTATATATTCCAGTCTTGCTTTCTGTGATCTTTTGTGAGAAAAAAGTACATGTTTAAAATATTTTTTAAAAAAATAGAGAAGAGTTAAATTGTAATAATATTTCACAATATTACTGTTTTCTGCATTTTTAGCCATTTCAGATCAAATACATAAATATAAGTTATATATCATATATTTCCAAAATCATAGTATAACTTTCTGTGATCTTTTTGTGATCTCTGATGATTTAGATTTTTTTTTTTTTTTTTTTTTTTTGCGAAACCTTTAATTTAATGACATCTGTTCTGATGGACCAGTAATTGAGAAACTTGAATCAATATTTCCATGACTCCATCTGCAGCTATTACTTTTTATTAACCCTCACTGTAGGGTCTGGTCTGTTGACCTCACTTCACCTGAGATGTCTTGTCTGTCGCGGAAAACATTCATCCGTGTAGAGGTTCTATGCGATGCGCACATTGAATCGGTCACGTACAGTAACCGAGCACTCAGCTCATTGAGATGTGGGCCGCAGTCCTCTGGGGAGCTGGTCCTGTCTGACGTCAGCACTCACAGTGATGCAGTCGATGAGCCATCACTGAGCTGACACGAGATGTCTGCAGCAAACCTCTCCTCAGCTCCACCGGGACATTATTCTCAGATTTAACATTCAAGCTCTTGCAAACTATAAGTCACCTCAGACCCTCTTTGAAGCCTGTAAATATAAAGGTCTTTCTTTCCATCTGTTTACATGGAGCATGATGCATTAGATTTGTTTGATTGATTTTCAATAGCTGTTATATATCTAACTGAAAATGCATTGTGTCACCTAATTTTTGCGTGTATTTTTGTGCCTATTAGAGTATTCTGTCAAATGTTTGGGGTAAGAATTGTCTTTTGAAAAAAAAAAAAGAATACTTTTATTACAATAGGAAGCTTTAAGTTAAGACATTTATAATGTTACAAATGATTTCTAATTCAAATAAATTCTGTTCTTTTGAACTTTCTGTTCATCAAAGAATCCTGAAAAATGGATCAGTTTCCAAAGTTTTCAACAATAATAATAATATATTTTTTAATATAATAATAATAATAAGAAGAAGAAGAAATGTTTTTTGAGCACCAAATCAGCATATTAGAATGATTTCTGAAAGATCACGTGATACTGAAGACTGGAGTAATGATGCTGAAAATTCCCAGGAATAAGTAACATTAATACATTAAAATACAAAACATTTATTTCACAATATTATTGTTTTTACTGTATTTTGATCAAATAAATGCAACCTTCACCAAGGCATAAGAGACCTCTTTTAAAAAAATTATATATATATATAGGTTTTTTTATTTATCACAATCCACTTCTCAGGTTTGAGCTTCTATTTCAAGGCCTACAGATTCATTTTTGCGCTGTCAAAGCATCCTGAAAGTTATTTACATTGTTTTCAGGATATAATGGGTTTGCCATTACCTTCACATCTCATTTTGGTAATGTAGAGTTTCCTGTCAATCAGAATGCAAATTTGGGAAGCTTTTAAGCTCACTTAGATGTCTTGCCCATTTTGTGAGTTTCTAACAAGACGTGATTTGTCTCTTATACTAATAGCGCGCAACTAGAGAAATCACAAAAAAGGGAGCGCAGTGTGTCAGCCAAATTGCAGGATTGGAAAATTCTGTATGTAAGGGTTCTCTCTTATTGTTAGTTCGGCGTGGGGCGTAAGTGCTGCTGTTGGCAGGCTGCAGGTGCTTGGGTTGTTCCTGCAAGACGAGGGCAAGAACTGTGAAGTGCTTTTTCTACCGCAGTCTCCCTGTTCTCTGCCAACCGTACACACAAACGCACGCACATACACACCTTGTGCTGCTCGTAGGTGCTGTCAAGGCCAATATCCAAACCCACAAATCAGTCTGAGCCATTGTTAAATACTCACGCATATATACATTTTTAACACGACCAGTGTCCTTTACTGGCTAACCAGGCCTGATTATAGGTCAATTTCAATTATTTCAAATAGCTGATATATCAGTCTATCAAAAGTTTATGCACATACTTAGACTTAAAAACACACATTCTCATTGAAAATATGGTAACTATACTCATACCTTACTATATTCATATCAGTTGAGTTTGATTGATCACCTCTGCTCAGATTTGCTCTCTGCACTGAACATCTGTACATCTGCCTTTGAACAAAGTGAAGTATAATTATACTGTAACCGGTTCTTGAGGAAAAAGCCCAGCTCCACCTTCATCTACACCCACAGCAGGTGATGCATCATACTTTGCACCTTTTGACAAGGAGCTAGAACGTTTCTGCCAAAGAGGACATGTATTCTGTGCTCAGATATTGTTCCTCAGATGAGAAGAGCGGAGCTCCGAATCACAGTCTTGCTCTCTTGCCTCCAGTTCTATTGAACGTTGTGTTATCAGCTGACCGGCCGTTCACTCCTCGCGCCTGCTCCGCCTCACTCTCTGCATCTGGTTTTTCTGCACTGTGGGCTGCTCTCTGGCACTCGGTCTCTGTTGGGCATTTTGCAGTTTAGTAATTAATGAAGGACTTTTCTCCCTCAATGGGTGAGTCACAGGCTTTCTGCTGGAGCGCTCTGGAGAAAAGGACTGCAATAAAGGGAGCGGAACTTTGCTTTGGCATCACTATATCACTTTCATATTGTCTTAGGACACACTGTGCCTTCTATTCTATTCCTTAAAATCTATTCCAGTCCATTCTATTCTAGTCCAGGGAATTATTTTAGTTTTCCTTTTTAGTTAGAGAAATGAAAGAAAAAAAAAAATATATATATATATATATATATTAATCATAAGTTCATATCCATGTTACGTCAGCTGCCCTTATTAAATTTGTCTTGATATTTCTATTATGGTTTTTAATGAGGAAAACATAACAGAGGTTCTTTGTTGAGTTGTACATGGTACAGTAGCATTTTTTTTGTGCACTTGTATTCCTTACATGCTCAAAAGGAGAGGCTTTTAAAAGTCTTTGAAGCAGAATCAAAAGAAACAAACCATTCCAAGCAAATCATTGGCTGAACATCATTACTGTGCATTTCAGTAAAGCAGCATGTGCATAGAAATCCCTTTGTGTTTCAATATCAATGCTCACTGCTTGTATAATTTATTTTCTCTCTCTATATATATATATATATATACATTCATTTTCATTTTCATTTTGTATTTAAACAGTGGTGGATTTTTTTAGCTTTGTCATTCTTTATAATCAGTCATTCTTTTATCCCTGATGTCCATTTGTAATATTAGTAATGTTTGTTGTGCCAAAAAGAAGTCATAATTTATCAATGTTATTTTCATAGTACATCAAGCACTTTTATCTAAAAAGATCAAGAATTTCAGAAGTTCTCATGAAATGACCCTTTTAAATTGAAGGGCTTGTAACCAGTTATGCAGTACCATCTTAAAACCTCAAGTCCAGATATTACATCCACAAACATCCATGTCACAATGTGAAATATTAGCATAATGCCTGCCCAAAAGCGCCCACGAAGAAAGAAGGCAGCTTTCAGTACATTAAAACTGCTTTTAATGCAAACAGCTTTTGTTCTCAGAGGTTACGATTTATTAATAAAGCTGTTCCTGAGTACAATCTAAATGTTTGCTTGTGCAGAGTTCATTTTACAGAGGACATCTTCCTGAACCTGTACCGGGGAGTACACAAATGACTATCACTGTCAAATGTTCTGCTCAAGTCGTGCTTGCAAAGTTGGTCCCGATAGATCATCCGCATTTTCAGAATCCGACTCACGCTCTAAATTATACGGTCAAACAGACGACATAATTATTAACGGTGTGATTGCAATTGCTTTAGAAGCCTTGGAGGGGCTTTGTAGAAATCAGTGCATTTCAGACAGACTGGGAATAGAGGAGCTGCAATAATGTACAGCATGTGAAAAATAATGTGTTTTTTTGAACATTAAAGCATGTTAACCTTTTATATGACCTTATAATCAAATCAATGAAATACCTCACGAAATATTTTGGGGGCCATGATAATTTTGTGAAAATAATAAAAAATGCTTCTTTTTTTTTTAAACGCTGGCGGGGAGATTAATGTCCTTTGTTAATTATCAGATTTTTTTTTTTTACATTACATGGATGCCATTCTATTTGTGTGATTTCCCTTTTTTTTTTTTTTTTTTTTTTTTTACAGGTTGTGGACTGCTCTTGGGATGAGACTGTAAAAGTCTTCACCCCTTCATGCCTGGCCGCCCAGTAGGAGTTGATGCACCAGAAAGATGGGTCCGCAAGGCACGGGGGAGTCACGGCTCTGTTTTAATCACAGGTGCAGACTTTGCCAAGATTTCACTGCAGTTTTCCTAATGACGCTATTAAAGGAGAACCCGTGGGACGCATCGGGATCATTGCATCGGGAGCGCGGTACAGAGGACGGGGAATCTCGTGCTGTCACTGAGTGTGAAAACTGCTCGCTTTCAGGAGTGTGATGTTATTATAGTGTTTCTTAAGTGTAAAATCAAACTAAGTGAGTTTACCTTGAACAGTGAGTGCCTTATTGTTGTCTAAAGCTCAGTGGTAAATTATGTAGTACGTATTGTTGTTCCAGTTTGTTAAACTGATATTAATAAATCAATGCAAATTTTCATTCTCAAAATGATGAACCTGGTTTGTTAAAAATCAAATTAACATTTGTATTATTGCCTCCAGCACTGTGTTCAGTTTAGATTGCAGCAGACAAATAGGTGAATATTATATAAATGTTTGAGATTGTTTGTTATATTTCACCTGGAGCAAAATATAATAGAAAGGCCAAGTATACAAGCATTTAGAGGTATAACAGTAATATAGTGTTAAGAAAAAAAGAAATGTAGCGGGAACATGGTACCGTGATGTTATCAAGTAATACTATGGTACTTTAGTATATACCGTTGTATTGAATGAGTATCATATTCATGTATAAATTTTGTAGCATTTTATCAAGTCTATTTTTTTTACAACCTTTTACAACTACAGACCAATGGACTATATAGTATGTAAAGATACATTTGATATTAAAAAAGAAAACATCAAACATAACAATAAAAAAAGCTCCAAATATCAATAATTAAAATCCATATTTGATATTTAAATATTTCAATGGAGAAAACGCATCTGATGTCAGGCATTCCACAACCTCAAGCCGAAAACAGAAAAAGCCCAATCCCCTTTATTCTTCAAGTGAGTTATGGGCTTCAACAATAAAAGACAGTTTACTTTCAGAATATATATTAATATAATCCCAAATTGTATAGTGGCTGTCAAGGATTTTCCAATGGCTTGTTATCCAAATGACCTTGAATCGCCAGAACTGATATGAAGCCTTTGAAATTGTAAACAGAAAGTTGTGAAGCTCAAACTGTGACTTTAGATATCGCTTCCATGTTCAGAGCTTAAGCTGGTGTGGCAATTATATAAACACTTTCAGGGAGTTTGACTATACAGAAAATTTTAGATGCGCAATCTGTTCTCGTACAACCAAACAACCTTTCTTGAACTTAATAAAAAAAAAAACACACAAACATTTTTTTAACCCACTTAATTAAAGGTTTACTTCAGCCAAAAAGGAAAATTCTGTCATTAACTACTCACCCTCATATCAAAAGATAGAACTTTTTCACATTTTAAGTTAAGAATTTAGATAGGAAGATTCTGTAATACACTCTCAGGAACGGTTTGAAAACCCCCGTCCTAAAAAATGTTTCTAGGGCGTACTGTTCCTATGGTTACCTCCTTTGGCAAACTCGATATCTTCCTGAGCGTCCCTGTAGTCTTACTTTTATATTGACAGAAATGTTTTAAAACCCAGGTGAAATGCTTATAGCCTGTGTAGATTTAAAAAAAAAAAAAAAAAAAAGTTTTATTTGGGGGGGTTAAAGGCCCACTGAAGTGCCTTGAAACGCACAGCATTACCAAAGTCCTTTTAGGCAAGTCGTGCCACTCGGCCGCCATCTTGGCAACGCCTCCGGGCAGCTATTTCGGACTAACAAGACCAGGCTCCTATCTAAATGAATGGGCAGAGAGTCAGAACTGCACTTTCACTGGTCACCGGGACATAAAAACTGCATGTATAGAAACAGCAGTAAAATATGATAAAAATCGCTGAAAAAGTTTGATGACTTTGCCCCAAAATAAGGTTTAAAACGCCTTTTCCCCCACAGGTTATACTTTACTACGCATGCGCAAGGGTTCTCTCCCTCTGACGTGCGCGCGCTGCACGGTTTGAAACACAGTATGTGTGAGCTCTCGCTCGCTCGCTCGCTCTAGTTTCCGGGAGATTTGAACTAATTTTGGGCATCAGGGAGCCGCTATAAATATGCGGTAGACACTTGGGATGTCTGATATTTACACAACGCACACATACACTGCATATCAAATCTGCCGCCTTTTCAAACAGTAACGTATTTTCCACTGTCGCAAACCTCAACTGTGCGCATGCGTCAGTGGAACCAGACGATAGGCTTAAATGTTTCCCGGCTTGACTGTTAAAGGCAGACGATTGGCTTTCCAGCGGGAGGGGCGGGACATGTGCATACAACCGGCGGCTTTGGCGTTACGGGTTTTCCCTATATAGTTGTATTGAGGATTGAGTAAGTGGCATGTCTCTATATAAATAGTCTCTGGCATTACTCAATGTGTCGACGTAATTTCCACATACATTGAACAGCTCCTCCCCTTTTTTAAATTAGCCAATGGCGTTTCGTTTAAATATCACAGCTTGGCCAGAGCTGTTGAGCTCGGTAAAGCTGCAGTTTCCTCCTAATCTCTAACCATATCGCTTTAAAATATAGCATTCTGTGCAGAATGTAAATGGGTCCGATACGTTTTCTGGTCTGTGCCGGCTCGCACATATGATCCGCTTTGTGCTATCGTGTCTCTGGATCAGAGCAGAATGTGTGCGCACTAGCAGTTCGCGTGACACAAACATGAAACCAGACTTCATTTACCCCAATGGAAATCATATTTACACTGTCTGAATCATTCCCTCTCCCTAGTGCACCATGTGCCATTCACCATGTAGAAAATAGTAAATTTGTGAACAAGACAAGTGACCATTTTCAGATGCAGCTTCAGCATCTATTTATAGTGTAGGGGGCGGGACACTTAAGATTCTAGAGAGCATTTCATTGGACAGAAAATCTGTCATCAAAATCGCTGATCCATATTGGCAGAAGTGAGAGACTAGTTTTGAAAGCTTATATCTTCTAAATGCGAATTTGTGTCATTATTTTGGATCATACTAGCTTATAGATAACAGTTAGGCAAACATATTCATACTAAAAGTAAAAAAACCTTCCATTTTGATTTCATGGTGACTTGATTTAACACCTTATACTTCGCGCATTGGTTTACAGATCTAAATTGCACACAGCTTGTATTGTTTACAACTGTAAACTACCTGGAAGGAGAAATACAGTACATCAAAGTAAATGGATTGGCTGCAGTTGACTCCAATTCAATCATTGTACAGAGGAGACAGTCGGAGCTGCAGCGCGTGTCGCATTTATTCAGCAGCGCTCAGCACCAGCGCGTGTGTTGTGTGAATTACGCGCGAGCGAGAGGAGAGTGCACGTGAATATTCAGCAGTGAACTCAGAGCTCAGTGCGTAATACGGAGACGCCGGGAACCCCCAGTCTACGAAGGAAGACATGGAAGTTTGCAAAGGACGTTTGTTGGGCATTTCGGTGGCAGTTGCTCATGGATTCTTTTCGGGGTCGCTAAATATTTTGTTAAAATTCCTCATTACGACCTATAACTTCACGTATCTGACTTTAATTCAGTCTCTGACCAGCGGCACTGCGGCTCTCACATTAGAGGTTCTGAGGAGACTGGGCAAAATAGATATACCACCCTTCAGCCTCCAGTTAGTGAAAGTTTTTGCGAGTGTCTGTATTTTATCAACTTTGCAATCCACGCTAACCCTCTGGTCTCTCAGGGGACTGAGCTTACCCATGTATGTTGTGTTTAAGCGATGCCTGCCATTGGCAACGTTAGGGATTGGTGTGTGTGTGCTGAAGAATGGGTTCCCATCAGCTGGGGTGGTAACAGCAGTTCTCATCACCACTGGAGGAGCAGCACTGGCTGGTAGGAATATTTTGGACATTTATAGATAATATATTAGGTCTTTATTTATTTTTATATTAAACTTGTAATCACAGTTTTTATTATTAGTATTGCATATACCTTAAAGTCTTGGGTACAAAAAAAAGGCTTTGAACATCACCACTATTGCCAGGGGAAAAAAGGAGAAATCATTTACCACTATAGGGGCACGTTGTCACACTATATGGGAGTTTGAGTTATATGAGTTTTTTCAATGGAACCTGTCATTAAACAGCTTATCAGGGTTTCAGCTAAATGTAAACAGAATTCATGAAACAGCAAAAATAAATATTGTAATTAATAAAGTAGTTAATAAAGTGGCCTATATATCTGTAAAACAAACATGACCACATAAATGTGACATTTATGGACAAACAAAATCCCTAGTTTTTTTTTATTTGTTAACCAACAGCTACAAAAATATTATATAGGCTAATGATTTTTATTTTTTTTATTTTAGGTTTGAGGATGAAGATCGTAAAGACTATTCTAACTTAAGAAGGTTTTCTAGATATTTTTTTTAGATTCATATAGATTTGCATGCATTTGTGTAATTGGTCCTCTGAATCAAAACACCCAGTGTGACAACTTGCCCCCGTTGATAACTAGCCCTCCATAAAGTCTAAAGATATAGAATCCAGAATAGAATTAAAAGCAACTACACTAATCTTGCCTAATTCCTGTATTGCCCATAATATGAAATTCTATGCATGTGGTGTCTGCATGAAATATTTCTCTCACACAGAGTTTCATTTTAATGAACATAAATCATGTATGGCGCAGTCTCTTTAACTTTGCACCGTGTCGCTCTGTTCTTGTGCAGGTGCTGGAGATCTAACAGGTGACCCTTTTGGCTACGTGACTGGCGTTTTAGCTGTGATTGTCCACGCCACCTATTTGGTACTCATCCAAAAAGTGAGTGCAGACAGTGATTATGGGCCACTCACGGCCCAGTACACCATTGCAGTGGTGGCTTCTCCTGTTCTCTTCATCTGTTCCATTGTAAGCATGGATGCCATTGACATGTGGACATATGAAGGTTGGAAGAACCCGTATATCACAGGAATCTTCTGTACCTGCATCCTCATTGGCTGTGCGATGAACTTTACCACTCTACACTGTACATATATCAACTCGGCCGTCACCACCAGTTTTGTGGGGGTGGTCAAGAGTATAGCTACTATCACCGTGGGCATGCTGGCCTTCACTGACGTGATGCCAACCAAACTGTTCGTGGCAGGCGTGGTAGTGAACACCGTCGGCTCCATCACCTACTGTGCGGTGAAGTATCACGAAACCAGAAAGAAGCTGGCCTACCAGGATATGGACGAGTCTGCTGAAAATGCAGAACTTCCAGGAGAACCTTATGTGGAACCAGCCAAGCCTGATGGAGATACGGAAACTGTTCCAAATGATCTGGAGAACGTTCCCAATGGCAGCCTGATGCCATCAGCTGATGGCAATGACCAGGGTCCCATTCATGAGAATAAAGTGGCAGAGTCCATAGAATTAGAAAGGCCGGGGCTCCCATCAGAGGATCCTACGAGACAATCTCTGAGCGACAGTTATGTAGGGGTCTGGAGATCCGTTCGCACCTTAAAGTTCTTTAAGAAAGACACTTTACTTGATAATATGGAGGTCCAAAGTCCTTGATGATTGGTTTCACGAAGTGCATGATAATTGTTGAGGTATTGTTGATGGTGTGAACAATGTTTGCCTTTTTCTCTCCTGAACATGATTTTATGAAAAACATTTATTTTTTATAAAAAAGGTATGGTCTGTTTGTACAGTAGAGGGAGTATAAACATATGACAGATGAGCCAATTTATTGACTTAAAATAAAATATCCTTTTATTTTAGGATCAGTTTGAAATGACTATTGAAAAAAATAAAAAAAATCTTAATAGGGATAGTCCACCCAGAAATTTAAATTCTGTCATCATATACTCACCCTCATATCGTTCCAAACCTGTGTGACTTTCTTTGTTCTGTGGAGCATAAAGATACTTTGAAGAATGCTGGTAACCAAACAGTTTCCGTTCCTATTGACTTCCATTATATGGACAAAAAATACAATGGGAAGTCAATGGGAACCAAAACGGTTACCAACATTCTTCAAAATGTTGGTAAGAACATTTTCCGCAGAAGAAAGAAATCCCATGAAGAAAGGAATGACATGAGGGTAAATTATAGAATTTATTTTTTTGTGTGGAGTATCCATCCCTTTAATTTAATTGGATTGCTTTTATTTTGAATGAGTATTTATGTTTCTATGCACGTAGTGTCTGTGCCTGTATAGTGTGTTTTGTCTACGAATGCAATTCTTGAATAGGAGGCATTGAATTTTCTCATTTGCATGTAGTATGCGGAATTAATTTAAAATGATTTTACTTCAAAATTGTGTTCTTTGTGTATCATCTTTAAAAACATGTATAATACAAGCTACCCACCAACTGCTTTAGCTTGATAAAACCGTGCAATTATTTAAAATCCTCTTTAACTTCCAACCATCTAGGAGACCAACCATCATTGGAGATACTTTATATCAGTGATTCACAATTGGTGGCTCACAATCCAGAAATGGATTGCAAGTCTATTTTGACAGGGACAAAACAATTTTTTATCCAATAATAAAATTCAACTAAATCTATAATTAACTAGACAGAAATAATTAAAGCAAAATGAATAGGGAAGGGAAAATGCTACTCATTTTTGTTGTATTTTGCCAGATAAAGCAATGTCAACTTTGAATGGTTGTGTGACGTGCCTTCAATCTCGATAACCATTAACACAATTATGCAAGGTAAAAGAAAAGATGACCAGTCCTAGACTATATTAAATACAGTTTCTCTTGCAGCAAGGATAGATAAGGTTTGAGCCGTCCATCATGTGTTTCGTGATTGTGGATGATTGTCGAGAATATGAAATCAAGAGACTTTTGGGGATCTGATCACATCAGAACAAATAATCAAAATTTAGTTCAGTGTTTGCCATTTTTGTGTTTACATTTGATACTGTGTTGGGTTTCCACTTGTTGTTCAATCTTAAAATCTGAGTACTGACACAGCTGAGAACCACTCCATGATATTGAAGTCAATATCTATCGATCTTGTGTTAGCTGACTTCACTAAATGTAATGTTGTATGCATTTGAGTGGGTTTCTATCAGCAAAAGCAGACCACCTTCACCACCGGTTCTTTAGGGACTGACTACTGAAAATGCAAAACATAGAAAGAATTGTTACAGTGTGAATACACATTTTTACAGTGTAAATATAATGTAATTATACATTAGTTACAATCTATTTATACATTTGTTACAGTGCAATTATACATTAGTTACAATGTAATTATACATTTGTTACAATGTAATTACACATTTTTACAGTGTAATTATAATGTATTTATACATTAGTTACAATATAATTATACATTTTATAGTGTAAATATACATGAGTTACAATGTAAATACACATTTTTACAGTGTAATCATACATTAGTAACAATGTAATTACAAATTTTTACAATGTAATTATACATTTGTTACAGTGAAATTATACATTAGTTACAATGTAAATACAAATTTTACAATGTAATTATACATTTGTTACAATTTAGATACACATTTTTACAGTGTAATTATAGTGTAAATATAATGTAATTATATATTAGTTACAGTGTAATTATACATTTGTTACAGTGTAATTATACATTAGATACAATGTAATTATATATTTGTTACAATATAAATACACATTTTTACGGTGTAATTATACATTAGTTACAATGTAACTATACATTTGTTACAGTGTAATTATACATTAGTTACAATGTAAATAAAAATTTTTACAATGTACTTATACATTTGTTACAATGTAATTACACATTTTTACAGTGCAATTATAGTGTAATTATAATGTAATTATACATATGTAATTATACATTTGATACAATGTATTTACAATTTTTTAAGTGTAATTATACGTTTATTACAATGTAATTGTTTTTTCATTTTAAGGAAAGTAGCGATTCTTTTTGAAAAGTAAAGATTATTTTTTTAAAAGTAGCAATTCTTTTTGAAAAGTAGCGATTCTTTTTTTTTTTTAAAGTAGGGATTCTTTTCTTAAAAGTAGCGATTCTTTAAAAAAAAAAGAATCACTACTTTTAAGAAAAGAATCCCTACTTTAAAAAAAAAAAAGAATCGCTACTTTTATAAAAAGAATCGCCACTTTTTTAAAAAGAATCGCTACTTTTTGAAAAAGAATTGCTACATTTTGAAAAAGAATCGCTACTTTTTAAAAAATAATCGCTACTTAAAAAAAAAAAGAATCGCTACTTTAAAAAAAAATAATCGCTACGTTTTAAAAAGAATCGCTACTTTTTGAAAAAGAATCGCTACTTTAAAAAAAAAGAATCGCTACGTTTTAAAAAGAATCGCTACTTTTTGAAAAAGAATCGCTATTAAAAAGAATCGCTACTTTTTAAAAAGAATCACTTTAAAAAATAAATCGCTACTTTTAAAAAAAAATCCCTACTTTTAAAAAAAAAATCGCTACTTTAAAAAAAAATAATCGCTACGTTTAAAAAAAAATAATCGCTACTTTTTGAAAAAGAATTGCTACTTTAAAAGAAAAGAATCGCTACTTTTTAAAAAAAGAATCGCTACATTTTCAAAAAGAATCGATACTTTTAAAAAAAAAATCGATACTTTTTGAAAAAGAATCGCTACTCTTTTTTAAAAGAATCGCTACTTTTTGAAAAATAATCGCTACGTTTTGAAAAAGAATCGCTACTTTTTGTAAAAGAATCGCTACTTTTGAATCGCTATTTTTTTTAAATCGCTACTTTTTAAAAAAAATATTTTTTTAAAAAGTAGCGATTTTTTTTGAGAAATGTAATTACACTTTTTACAGTGTAATTATACATTAGTTAAAATTTAATTATACATTTGTTACAATGTATTTATACATTTGTTACAGTGTAACTATACATTTGTTACAATGTAATTACACATTTTCACAGTGTAATTATAATGTAATTATACATTAGTTACAACGTAATTATACATTTGTTACAATGTATTTACACATTTTTACAGTGTAATTATACATTTTTGTGCATTTTGGCACATTTACGTAAGCGTGTATTAATGTGCACTGTCCCTGTAACTTTAAACTGATTAAATAAAATAAATAAAATATAATTTGTTACAGTGTAACTATACATTTGTTACAATGTAATTACACATTTTTACAGTGTAATTATAATGTAATTATACATTAGTTACAATGTATTCACAAATTTTTACAGTGTAATTATAATGTAATTATACATTAGTTACAATGTAATTATACATTTGTTACAATGTAATTACACATTTTTACAGTGTAATAATGTATTTATGCATTAGTTGCAATGTAATTATACATTTGTTACAGTGTAATTATATATTTTTTACAGTGTAATTATACATTTTTACAGTGTAATTATAATATAATTATACATTAGTAACAATGTAATTATACATTCGTTACAATGTAATTACACATTTTTACAGTGTATTTATAATGTAATTATACATTAGTTACAATGTAATTATACATTTGTTACAATATAATTACACATTTTTACAATGTATTTATAGTGTAATTATACATTAGTTACAATGTAATTATACATTAGTTACAATGTATTTACACATTTTTACAGTGTAATTATAATGTAATTATACATTAGTTACAATGTAATTATACATTTGTTACAGTGTAATTATACATTAGTTAAAAATAATCGCTACTTAAGAATCGCTACTTTCCTTAAAAAGAACAAAATAATTAAATTGTAAAAAACGTATAATTACACTTTAAAAATTTGTAATTAAATTGGGTTACACTTTATTTTAAGGTGTCCTTGTTACAGTGTAATTATATATTTAAGTACAGAGTAATATTAAGTAACTACATGTACTTACTATAGGAATAGGGTATGATTAGGATTTGGTTGAGGGTTAGTTGCATGTAATTATGCATAATTTACTGTTATTACTACAGTAAGTACATGTAACATATGTAACAAGGACACCGTAAAATAAAGTGTTACCTTAAATTGTTTCAAAATGTATAATTACATTGTAACTAATGTATAAATACACTTTAACAAATGTATCATTACATTGTAACTAATGTATATTTACATTATAATTACACTGTAAAAATGTGTAATTACATTGTAACAAATTATATTTTAAGAAAAGTATCGATCCTTTTTGAAAAAGTAGCGATTCTTTTTGGGGAGAGTAGCGATTCTTTTTGGGGAGAGTAGCGATTCTTTTTAAGATTAATATAATTTATATAACTAGATTGTAGATTGTAATTGTTAATCAAACATAACACCTAACACATACACATTCTATATCAAATTACTCAATGAATCAAGCTTGTAAGAAAATAGTGACTGCAATTTTCTGCAACTTTACAAATGTGACAGGTTGTGCCCTAACCTATTCACCCTCAAGTCATTTCGAACTGATAAGGAAAACATTAAGCCCTACAGCATTTCTTTATGTAACACACACACAGACACAGTGAACATGTCTCTTTACTGTACTTGCTAAAACAAGAGTACATCGGTTGCTTTCACAGTCAGCACTTTACGGTGGGATAATATATCCAAAGGTGCCTTTCAAAACTTTTTCAAAAGCAAATTTTTTTGGTTTGCTATAGCATTCTTAATTTTCAGTCAGAGAAGCATCTCCTTCCCAGGAACATTATCAGAACTTTGGCTAAAGGTTGGTAAAGGTTTTCTTAAAGTTGAACAGACGTTCTTCCAGTAACGTTAATAGATTGTGCATTCAAAGTTATCTTTAATAATGTTGAATATAATTCTTTACAGTGTATACATTTTCCTGAAACATTTTAGTTGGACGTCCATGTAAAGTTTTTTAAATGTCACTATTGTTTCAGAGAACATTCAAAAACAGCATGTTTGCAAAATGATAACAAATCATGACAAATGATCCCCTTAATGTTTTCATAACCAAAAGTTAAAAAGATTTTTTTTTTTTCAAAACTGAACGTTTGCAAAATCAATAGTTTACAATTTTTTCTCAAATTAGCTGGGTTAATAAATAAATGTAAACCTTGAATGAAGTAAACTTCAGGCCTCTCAGAACAGTATTATCTGTTGTTACACTAGAGCACATTCATGTTAAACTATAGTTTTATCCACGCTTTCTTCCATTTAAATTCATCTTAGCCTGACAATGAACAAGTGAAAACAAATAAACTTCTCATGAGTACCAGGTGTTTTTGTTATCATTTTTCAGTAGCACAGCATGGCGTATTATCTTCTTCATTTTGCTCAAGGCATATTATGAAAAGACAATTTGCCAGACAATATAGCACAAACCCTCAGAGCCAAACGTATAAAAAGTTAATGTCATGCTTGAAGCTATGTGTGGGAAAGATGTGCTTTGTGGTGTTGTACTGATCACATTTCATGCTTTTCATGAAGCATTTGTTTGGTTTTATGTTCCCATTCTTAATATGATTTATGGCCAGTGGAAGTTTAATTTAAAATCCAATGGTCAAATAGATATGTCCAGGACAGATTGTTCTTTAGATTAATGGCAACAGCTGATTTACTCGCTAAACATGCAACATTACAGTAATATAAAGTGCAGGACATCTGTATTTTTTAGGTATGTTTTGAACAGGGATTTGGGTCATTGCTGTTTTAATGGATCATTCTTCTCTGATCTTTTTTTTTCTCTTTAATCCGCACATTCAAATCTTGAATGTAAAAGTGATTTGCATATCTTTACCTAATCAGGCTGTTCATTTCTTTGCCTTGAAGTGGGTTTTATTATCTCTCTTCTTGAAAATGGAACTGCAGTGAAACACAAAAATAAAATAAAAGCATGTTTGTTCAAAGGGCCACTTGGTTATCTAGACTCGGCTTTGGCATAGAACATTTAAGAAATATTGTTTGCACAATTTCAACTGGTTCACCCAAAAATTTAAATTCTGTCATACCCTCTCAAGTTGATCCAAGAATGAATTTCTTTCTTCTGCTGAACACAACTTCAAAATATCTTCTGTTGTGTTCAGCAGAAGAAAGAAGTTCATACAGGTTTGAAACACCACGAGAGTGAGTAAATGATGACATAATTTTAATTTTGGGGTGAACTATCAGTAAGCATGCATGCATATTGCCATCTAGTGGACAAAGGTGAGTCCATTGCATCTGTTTACATAATCATGGTGTTGCAGTTTTATGATACAAATAAGCTGTTGTGTAGCACTTTAAAAATAGGCTAATCATTCATAAGTATATGTTTAAGAGACCAGTTTATGTACTTCACTTATATGTATAAAAATACATATTATGTTTCTATTTCAGTTAATCTACATTAAATGTGCACAATTTTTCTAGTTTTTAAACCAAAAGAAATAGCACAAAACCCTTCTGAAATAAAAGGCGTCTTGTTGTTTAAAAATATGAATGAAAACGAATAATAGTATAGAATTAATATTGAAACAACACTGCATGCCCTTTTTAATTAGCTTTTATTTTATTCTTTCCTTTTGTAATTTTTTTTATTCTTTAGTTTTATTTTTTATTTTATTCTTTTATTTTTTATTTTTTATTCAGGTTAATTTATTGTTCTTTCAGATTTAGTTCAGTTGTAGTTATTTCAGTTATTCATTTTTAGTGCTTCAACTTAATCTCATTTAAAAAAAAATTCATCTAGTATTTATATTTTATTTAAATTTTTTTTTTTTGATTAACAAAAATGTTTTAATAGTTTTATTTAACAATAACAACCCTGAATAATGCTAATTATATCCAGCGAAACCTATATGCAGGCTAATTATGATGGGAATAATAATTATTATAAATCATGGAATATGTCATTATATCTTTCTTTTTTAAAATCTATTTAGTATGAAATAACGGTATAACAATGTTCTAAAGTGATTAACAAATGTTGAGTAACACTGGAGGAGAATAAAATTAGGGAAAGGATCTGAAATAAATAAACGAAAACCCACGCAATCAGTTTTGTCCCTCTACGGACACTGTTGCTTGCTGTACGTACGTTTGACGTCAACCAAACCGGTGAATTTTGAAATACGGGCGCGTTTTTCAGCATCTCTATTGTAATTAAAAAGAAATGTTTTACATTATCTATATTGTTATATTACGAATTGTGGTTTAATTTTTTTGTGTTTAATTGGTTGTGCATAGCGTGACTAAACTTGTGTCTAACGTTTGTCGTACGGATTGTGGTGTTGTTAACAAAAATATTATCTTTTATTCTTTAATTTTAGACAAATGGAGGCCAACAAAGAATTATCTGGTGCCTTTAAAACGCCTTGCAAGCCTGCAAAAGTGAAAAGTCCAGGTACAGTGGTCTTTAAACGTCTGACACTATAATTACGCTACATCTATATTTACACGTTACATTGGCTTTCTCATCATCGAGATGGTTTTGATCCAAATGTGGTCGTTGGTTAAAGTAAGTTAGTTAATAATGTCTTCAATGTGTTGTGTGTTATCAGTCGGTGCATGTGGAACCCCGGTCACCATTCCTGCCTCTCCCTTCATGAAGAAGCTCGGCTGCGGGACTGGAGTCAACGTCTATCTCATGAACAGGTTCATACATAATATTTGATGCATAACGTTATTTGTTCTACCTACTCCATGTTAATGTAATGGACAAGTTTAAACATCTATGTCAATATTAACATCAGGATGGGCAAGCAGACTCATTCACCATGGGCCATTAAGAAGATCAACAGCAAGTGTGAAAAAAGTCAAATGAATGTTTATCAGAAGCGTCTGAGCGAGGAGGCAAAGGTCTTAAAAGACCTGCACCACCCCAATATTGTGGGCAAGTATTTCTTTAAATATTACAGGTAAAGGTAAATATAAGGATTATAAGTCAAATATCTTTTTTGTAATACTTTTTTTTAAGGCTTCAGAGCTTTTACCACAGCAAAGGACGGCTCTAAGTGTTTAGCGATGGAGTACGGTGGAGAGCAGTCTCTGAATGACCTCATTGAGAAAAGAAGTGAAGAGGGTCTTCAGGCATTTCCAGTGGCCACTATTGAAAAAGTGGCTCTTCACGTCGCACGTGGTTTACAGGTGTGGTTGAGTCATTTGTAAATTTACTTTTAAGTCCCGTTCACACCCAGTACAACAACGTTGATGTTTTAAGGCCTTTTTGCAAGGACGATTACTATATAACAATAAAGATATAGTTTTAAAAATCGTTCTAAATGTAAAACAATAGCGGAGCCCACACCACAACAATATAACGATAACGGCACAGAGGAACGATATTGTTGGAATCATTTTCACAACGATTTTTTCCAACTGGGGAGTATAGAAGCTTTATTCCGCAATGGAATAAAAAATACAAATGCTAATTGTGACTTTTTTTCCCCCTCAGAATTGTGAGGTATAAACTCACGAGTTATAAAGTCAGAAGAACTGCGAGATATAAACTTGAAATTCTGAAAAAAATAGTCGCAGTTGTGAGGGAAAAGAGTCAGAATTGCTAGTTATAAAGTCCAGTTTTAAGGGGGTAAAAAAGTCAGTTCACAATTCTGACATTTTCCTGCAATTGCGAGTTTATTTCTCAGAATTGTGAGTCTACATCTCGCATCTCACAATTTTGAGGGAAATAAGTGAATTGCGAGATGTAAAGTCACAATTACCTTTTATTTTTTATTCAGTGGCAGAATCGAGCATCTATAGAATTCATCCTGATTTTAGAGCCAGACGATATAACTGCAGCACATACTTATAAATACACAACAATATTGTGCGTAGGTGTAGACACTAATATTGTTATCGTTATAATTATCGTCCTTGTGTGAATAGGCCTTTACTACTTTTTCCATAATCAAATGTAATTATTATGTAATCCCAAGCTCCTACAACTGTTTTATTGTTGTTTTTCTTCAGTACCTGCATAATGAGAAAAGGCTTTTGCATGGAGACATGAAGTCATGCAATGTTGTCATCAAGGGCGACTTTGAAAGCATCAAAATCTGCGATGTTGGTGTGTCACTGCCACTGGATGAAAACATGCAGGGTATGAAAATATTTAACATGATTATTTTTCCTTCATTTGTTAATTAAAAACATTTTTTAATGTTTTCTTTTACCTTCTTTTTTTTTAAGATCCACTATATTAAAGTATAATTTCAAACCTATCTTTCTTCAGTGAGCGATCCAAAGGCCCATTACATTGGGACGGAGCCGTGGAACCCTAAGGAAGCCTTGGAGGATGGGCTTATCACAGACAAAGCTGATATCTTTGCATATGGACTCACACTGTGGGAGATGATGACACTTTCTGTTCCTCACCTGGAGTTGCTGGACACTGAGAGTGGTGATGATGGTAAAGTTACTGTAATCAAATCCATGTGCTATTTGTAATATCCTATAACGAGTAGATTTAGCACTTTTCATACTTTTTCAAATCATCCATTCGGTCTTTTTCTTAGATGACTCCTTCGATGAGGATGGTTTTGATGAAGATGCGTATTATGAGAGGCTGGGAACTCGACCGGCTTTGGACGCAGCCACTCTTGGAGGGTCTTACCAGAGGATGGTGGAGCTCTTCTGTCTCTGTACTGAGGAAGACCCTCATAAAAGACCCTCTGCAGCTCACATTGTTCAGGTGCTGGAATCCAACAACCAGCTTTGTGACAAAAACAGTGAGGTCATTATAATTGATTAAATTCTCTAACCCATTCCCATCAATGTAAAATATATTGGTATGTTTACAGGGTCTGGTTTCTGCTCTGCTTTTCTGTCTATGATTTTACTTTGTGAGCTGTTTCTGTCACATTGTAAATATTTTTCTGTTGAGGATTTTGTCATGTTACATATGTTCGTATGTACTCTTTAGACATTTTCTAGATACTGTAGTTACAGTGCAATTCGAATTAAAGTGTCTATTTGAACTCGTCTTTCTTTGTGTATAAAATCTGCACACCTGACTCATTACTTGATGGGAATATAAGTTCTTACTGACAAAATACTTAGAGCTGACCATAAAGTAATTTGTGTTCAACTTAGAAATGTCATTGCACGTTATTTTACAGTATGTGTACTTACCTAAGTAATGGTTAAAAGGTAAATACATGAGTTAAGGTAAGGTTTAAGACAGTTCCTCAAACTCGGTCCTGGAGGGCCACTGTCCTGCAGAGTTTAGCTCTAACCCTGATCAAACACACCTACCTGCGAGTTTCTAGTGATCCTGAAGACCTTGATTAGCTTGCTCAGGTGTGTTCGATCAGGGTTGGAGCTAAACTCTGCAGGACAGTAGCCCTCCAAGGCCGAGTTTGAGTAACCCTGGTTTAAGAGGTGGTTCAGGGGTTAGTACCTTGTAATTACTACAAGTACACAATGGAACAGGACTAAAGTAAAGTTCTTGATTTAAGATTTTATTTTTTTACAATTTAAGTTTGAAACCTCTGCTCATTCTAAAGCATTTAGCTAATTCTTGTTGAATGAAAGTTTGTATGGGCAGACTAATTGAAAAAAAAACTATTAGAAATATATTTTAAAATGTCTATATAAACTATATAAAATGAACTAGAAGGCAAAAGGATAATTACAAACTTAAAACTTAAATAGTGATGATCAGTCACCTAAGCTGTATAACTCAACTTGATTCACAAGTACAAGACAAAATATATGAACAAGACCATTTATTTAAAAAAAATATGTACACAGCAAGGAGCAGTTCAACTGAACGTTTTTTTGCTCATTTTACAACCAACTTTTAGGAAATATGACAGCCTAATTTTCCAAACAGGAACCTTTAGGACTTGCTAGCTTACAATAATCAGCCAGTATTTGTGCTGAAGTAAACCGTGCCTTAAATATGAATTCGTGAACTCAGCATTAAAGACAAAACATCAGTCTCTAAAACACAGTAAAATGAGAAGTTTATCATATTAGGCTGAACTAGACTTGAACGTATAACAATTTTTTTTTTTTAATCTATTAAAAACTCTGAAAAAACTTACAAAAGCATTAACAAATGCAGTCAACCTAAAACCAAGTGTAGTTGTTTTTCCTTTAACTGATGAAGTTGTACACCAGAAATGTTGGTGTCTGGCAGTATTTTGTAGCAAACTGCTTCCCCTCTGGTGTTGGGTCAGAAAAGGCGATTTCTTCTTTGGTCAGATGGCTCCCGTACATGAAAGAATTCCTGATTCAGTAAGAAACAATAGTTTTATATACATAAAGTAATTTATGCCAACTCCCACTATAAGATCTTTCATCTTATTAATGCACTGAAAATGTTTGGTACCTGACAGTGTCCAGAAGGCGAGTGGCGATGCCCTTCCTCCTCATCAGACTGAAGACCCAGATGCGACTGACGCCACAGAGGGCTTTTTCCGGCACGGTAGAGCAGCACCAGGCTCTGTGGCGCTCCATGAAATCCTCCTTGTTCATGTCTTTGGGTTTCTCTGGCTGCTCCAGCACACGAAAGGCCTGGAAAACATTGGGTTCAGTAAGATCAGTTTTACTTTAGTTCATCACTGCCATTCTGAGGTAAAGGCTTCAGGTAGACAAAGACTCGCCTGTCTAATACTCTCAGCCACCAGACATCCCACAACCATCCTGTCACTGTTAATGAACAGGTAGGTTTTAGCCGAGCTCGGGCTACTGAGTGTGATCTGCTGAAAGCCCAACTCGCTGTCTGCGATCCGTCTCACGTCCTCTGCCTGGAACAAAGCAGCACAAGTTAGAAAATACTGATGATTTAGCTCACCAGAAGAAGTGTTTAAGCTCTAACCAACTACCAGCATACCTTTTTTGTGGCATACTTTGGATCCTCAGGAAGAACAAGAATAATCTTTCCATCCCAGAACTCTGCCACAACCCTCTCCTTTTTCCAACCCTAAAACATACAAATTGATGTGAAATTGTAACATTTTTGTAGCAGAATCGGTAAACTGCATTGATGACATCATCATGACGGCTCACCACAAACTTAATGGTGTCCAAGAAGCGCTGATGGAACTGCGTGTGCTGGAAGTTGTCCTCGGGACTATCTGTACTGTACAGCATCCCACAGGACCCGCATGAAGTAGCGCCAAACTGCTTTTGACCAGCATCCTAAAGAGCAGACACATTAACCATTAACAAGAGGTGAAGAACCACTCATTTATTTCCATTTAACAACTGCACCTTCTACTCACAATGATGAGCTGGTTATCCGTTTGCTTCTTCATCTCTCTTCTCAAAGCACTTCTCTCTTTGGCCTTAAAAGCAGGAGTGCCAGTCAGCGCAGGAGTGCTGGTGTTCAGTGGTGGTGACAAAATTCCTTTTTTATGAGATCTAAGACCAAGAAAGAACAACTAATAAGGCTTAAACTAAACGCATTCAATGAAAAGTTTACCGACTTTACATGGTCATGACATTAACTATGAAAAACCTGGCAAAAACAAGGTCATAAGTTATTATATCACACTAGTTTTATGGAGCTATACATTTGAAAATGTTAACGTGTATTGTACCCTTCAAAATTCAATATTTTGCCACAACTGCATTAGGGGAAAAATTAGTATATGATGGACTTACCTTTTAGTGCCAAAGATAGGATATACAGTTGACTCTTCTGAACAGAGAGAAATAATAATAAATCATCTTTTAAAAAATAGCAGATATTATTGACTGTTAACATATACACACACATATTTGTGATGTAGATGTACATGTAAACAGTCAATAATATATATATATATATATATATATATATATATAGAGAGAGATAATTAGAAAGTATTTTTGATCATATATATATATATATATATATATATATAGTAGGCAGAGACAGATAGATTATACATTTTATAGATGGATTGATAATTTGTGGATGTTAAGTTACCATCATCGTCATGAGAGCTGTTGTGTTCTGATGGAATGTCACTCACATCAAACACTGAATCAGTTTTTGCGGGTGAGTCCTGGAAAACATTTTCAGTTTGAGAAACAGATGATGAAAGCTTTTTGAAGTTATTAGCAGATAATTCAATCTTACCTGGCTACCAGCTTCAAAGGATTTGTTTGGGCTGACGGATCTCCTCAAAATCACCTTTAAATCTTTGGTAATACCATGCAAATCAGCCAGGACCTGAGGAGACATATTCTCGGGACTTATCAGCACTTGTGTTGACTCGCTGCTCTCAGCATCTTCATCATTGGTAGCTTTGGTTGTGTTGTCCACTTCCGGGTGTTTTTTTAAGAAGACGGCACGGCGGACTGGGGAACGCTCTCCTGGTGCTGACGTCACTTCCTTCTTCACGGGTTTCTGGGAGTTGGGTTTCTCGTAAGTTGAGAGCTGTTTAGGCTTTGAGTTCTGTGCAGACTTCTTGTACAATGAATTGGCCTTTTTTCCAGTGCTGAAGAAAGCTGCTCCCACAACAAGCTTGGGTTTACCCTTGGATTTCATAGAGCTAAATGAAATGGGGGGAAACGTGACCTTTGACGACTGATCAGTCTGTGTGTCAGAGGGACTTTTCCCTTTGGGTTTAGCAGTAAAGTAACCTTTCAGGTTAGACTGTGGACCAGTGACGCTGCTTTTCTTCTGAACCCTCCTCACTGTTTTTTTAACAGGATTCTCAGCAGTTGAAGGGGGGTGTGATGGCTCTTTGCTAGGGGCTGACTTGGTTTCCTTCAACAGTTTCCTTTCAAGAGGTGTGAGATACAGGGGCTTCTGCTTGCTGTAGAAAGATTTTGCTCCTAATACTGTTTTGCGTGGCGAGATCCGTTTTGGAGGAGATTCTAGTGAAGAGGTCCTCTGCATCTTCTTAGGTGTACTGAGAATTTTTTGGGGTGATGTCAGCGAGATGGGAATGTTCTCTTTTTGTCGAGTTGTCCTTCTCGGGCTTATTATTTGTTTCTTAGATGGGTTACTGTGGAGGGTTACAAAGGAAAAAATCTGGTTCGCAATCTGAGTCATAAGAGCTAAGAACATTTCACGATCTAATATCAAACAAAATTACATCACATACCTTTCAGCATCAGGAGAGGCATGTTTTCTTTTTCGGGATAACATCTTCAAATCACCTGAAATGAGAAGACAGGGAATCAGAGCATGAAGTGATTTCTAACAATTCTATAGGACGCCACTGTTTGCATTTCTGGAACATTCTTATATTTCTGCAATATTGTTTTTTCTGCCATTATATCACATTGAGATGATATTGAGTAGTAGTAAGTAGTAACATGAGCAAATTTAGTACACAATATTTGAGTAAGTTAGTACACAAACACTCAATTGCGTCAGTAGACAGTGAGAATATTATTTGTCATTAAATTTAAATATTTCAAAGAATCAAACTGAATGTTTTCCTGTCAAACTTATTGCTATGATACAGGACTTACAGGTATATGTAGTTCGGCCCAGAGTATAAAGCATATACAACTTCACATCTCACTTGTTTTTACCGCAATTATTTTCTAGGCGCCAAGTGACAAGAATCAAAATCTCCCTAAAAATGCATGCTGGATCTGATCATCATCACAAATTTAATTTAATACTGACACTATAACAATATTTGTAGTTGGTGACTTACCAGGTAAAATAAATCGCTTCTGTTTTTTGATTTGTGTGAAAACACTGGAACAAAATAATCGCGGCAAAACTCCCCTCACCCGCGATCTGCTTTGAACACCGCGCCAGAGTCAATTGTGGCGCACACGGAAGCGGAAACAGCGTGTGTTGCATGACAACATCCGGTTAGTAATGGGAAGTCCGATTCATCTCTGTGAATCGATTCTTTTGAACGGTTTGTTTTAAAGAACCGGTCCTGTCGACTGTAAGTTCAAGCAAAGCCCGTCTAGTTCAAGTTTCCTAATTCAGTTTATTGCTGCCACTTGGTTATTCTAAAAATAAAGTAATTTAGAATCTAAAAAAATGTTTGCATCTACATCAAACACAAAATACATTTAAATCAGTCTGCATTTTTATTTTATTTTAATGATTATTTTAAATCAACTCTGATTCGTGTCTGTGTTGATAAAAGTATCTGAATGCGGAAGCGCATACTAGTCTCTCTTACTACTTTTACCACATCTTTGTGGCAGAACCCTTTTTTACAGTCTATGGGCAGAACTATGCAGTTGCAGGCTTGAGGACAGTTGAATCAACCAATTCATTGAAAAGATCCGATTCAAACGAACTATCCTGTCACGAATCGGGATTTGGAATCGCTACTTCATTGCAGCGATGCTTGGTTCCTGTTGTGGTCGGAATGGATGGTACACATGACATGTGCCTCTGATTCAGATGATTTACCTCTGATGTGCTCACTGTTTTGTTGAATACATTTCAAAGGTTGTGTATTTGCGGAAAGATGGTGTTTTACTTTAAAAGCGACGGTGAGTAGTGAATTGTGTGCCCAGGGAAGACCATGTTTATGTTGTCAACAAAGACAGTATGAATACGAAATAATGATAATGCTTGAAAATAAATGCTACAAAATATAGAGCATACAACAAAAGGACTGCAATATATGTAGCTTGACATGGTGAGATGTTGGCGGTTCAGAGTGTCTTCAGTTTTATAGCAAGAATAAACAGTGCTTTTTAAAAGTTGCAATACGTTACATGCTATCTTTCACAGTTGTCTCACCGCCCTATACCATCTACATGGGCAAAGATAAATATGAAAGTAAGTGCTTGTTTTATCATAAATAATACTTTTCAGCCTTCTGTGCTTGTCAGACCGTTTTTAACTGTTTTTGTTTTTCAACAGATGAAGATCTGATAAAGTATGGATGGCCTGAAGATATTTGGTGAGAACATTTATTTGGTGCTTGACACCACTAATGAAGTATTATTTTTCTTCTAGTTTTGATCTGCAATGAATGTTTCTGTGATTCCAGGTTCCATGTGGACAAGCTTTCGTCTGCTCATGTATATCTAAGAATGCCAAAGGTATTTTGAGAAGTGAAACGGATTTTAGCCTACAGATGTATTTATAATATTTCTGTGTTGACAACTGTTAATTGATTAAAGGGTGTACCGATAGAAGACTTACCAAAAGAAGTCCTGATTGACTGTGCCCAGCTGGTCAAAAACAACAGTATTCAAGGTACTGCTTCTTTACGAGAAACATCAAAACTTGTTTGTTAACAGTGTTTTGAAGGTATGATCTCAACTGTATTTTTTTACAGGATGCAAAATGAACAATATTAATGTTGTCTACACACCATGGGGGAATCTGAAAAAAACAGCAGACATGGATGTCGGTCAGATAGGCTTCCATCGGCAGAAGGAGGTATGATGAGAGAATTATGCTTCTTTGATAATAAGCACTATGATTGTGTGCACACTGCAACCAATTCTTGTATTTGTACAATTGAAACTATAAGAAAGAAAAATATAAAACTTTTACTGCCTGTCTGAACAGTTTATATGATTTTGAAGTGTTCAGGGATTACCATTGTACTATGAAATCTTGTAAATAATTGCAAATTCTGTATAAATAATCAACTGCACTTCAATATCAACAGGTGAAAATTGTGACAGTAGAAAAGAAAATCAACGAAATTGTCAACAGACTAGAGAAAACGAAAGAGGAGCGCTATCCTGATCTGGCCGCTGAGAAGGAGTCTCGGGACAGAGAGGAAAGAAATGAGAAGAAGGCTCAAATACAAGATCAGAAGAAGAAAGAGAAGGAGGAAATAAAAAATAAAAAAGAGATGGAAGAATTAAGGTGCTGCATATTGTTTAAGATGTTGAGATACATTTTTTGGTAAAAAAAAAAAAAAGACAGAAAATACACTGGCATCCAAAGGTTTGAGACCATTTTATTTAAAAAAAATATATATATATTATTTCATTACAAATTATAATATCAGCACAACGATTTGAGAGAAAAAAAATTAATCTCTTTTCAGAATTTACATTTGTTAAATCAACTATTTTTTACTTCAGTTACAGCAGCATTTGAGCTTCACATGTTTGTGCAATATTTTCAATGTGGTCTCAGACTTATTCACTCCACTGTATATACAAAAATGAAAACGTCAAATGTAAGAAAATAACATTTAATAATCAGTCCTTTTGAGAGCTGTTATTTACAGGTACAGGCATTCATTTTGTGAACATGTAACATCTACTTTCCTGCAGGAATTATTCAGCGCTCATGAAGAGTGACAACATGACCACAAATGAGGTAATACGTCCTCAGAGTTAAATATACATTGCTGAGCATTGACATAAATTCTGTTATGACTTGAAATGATCATTTTCTCTGCAGGATGGCAATGATTCAGATGACTTCATGTAAAATAAATAAATGGATCTGCGATAAAGAAGAACCACCATCTTCCCCCCCACAGTATCTTAAGTTTGTGAAAGGACGTCATAGCAGGCTTCAGAAATAAGCAATCAAAAGGACAATTCCAAGAGCGCTCTAGATCATCTTGCTTTGTCATTCCTTTGAAAATTAAATGCAATATGTAAAGTATGTAAAAAAAATACTCTTTAAATGATAAAAGAGTAGATAGCTCATTTAACCAAAAAGAATTTGAGAATCTCTGCTGATTCTGTACTTCAAACTGTTTTTTTGTTGATGTTTTTGAACGAATTAAAAGATAATCACAGTGGAGATATGTTAATGGCTGTGTGTACACTAAAACCTAGAGGGTATTTGTGCTTATAAATGATGCCTTTCTGGAATGATAGCATTGAGCGACACGCTCTTAAACGTTTCCTTTTTTGATGATCTAAAATAAAAATCTTTGACATTCTCAGTTCATTTCTGTTTGTTTGATGTTTGTATATATATATACAGTATATATCACACTTTTTATCTTAAATATTCAGGTCTATGAATGAATGTAGAATTACATTAAAATTGTGTTAAATGATTTAGAATATAAAATCAGTTGACTGAAAACTACATAATATTATGTGTTTTACTTTAGGTTTTCTTTTCAGTAGTGTATTTTGCTCTCAAGTCAAATTGGCAATCTATTCGATTTTTGGAGAAATACGTTGCTTTATTTTGAACTTTATTGTGACTGGTAAAAGGCTAAACGTCCACGAGATGGCAGCATTTTACCGCATAATTTGAAAACGACAAGATCAATTTCTAGATTTTTTTTTAACTTGGTTTATTTAAAGCAATTTCCACAATTGGACACAAAACAGGTCCTGAAGCTCTTTTTAAAAATTGTCATTTATTTTTCAAGAGGTGCTACCAGAAAATCAGAAAATTGATCATCAACTTCAAACTATCTCATGTTAGATAATGACATTTATCTTACATGTCATAAACGTTACCGTTTCCTTAATTATTTGTTTAATGAGATTTGCAATTTACCTTGAACCCCGATTTGTTTGATTTTTCCACAAGAAACATTAAAATTTATTTTAAATCATTATGCCAGAATTGTATTTTGTTGTATTATTTTATTTAAATAAGACCCATCCAAATCAATTTAGTGGTTCAATAATAATATTGACATTGGTATGCTGCGAATATAAAAGCTGCTGACAGACCACATACCCCTAAAGAGCAAGCACACTTGTTGCAGACAGACAGACACAAAAGAAAAAGAAAGGAGTTATTGTGGTAAGGCGTCGTCTCCTGTCCAAGGCAGGGCTGGAAAATATGACCTTGGACTGCCACCTCAGCTGTCCTTCACTGGCGGGATGTTTCTGCTCTGTTTATAGGAAAGATTCAGTCACATTCTTTTCAAGCCAGTGGCATTGCACTATTAAAACACAGGTCTATCCAGCGACACATTTACAAAAAGCGTGGCTTTGTAGCCTATTAAGCGAATTGGATTTAAACCTGGAGTTACAATGTCTAGATGACTAAATCATACAGGCACATACACTTTGGTGTCATTTTGTGTAAAAAAAAAAATTAAAAGACAAAAAAGATAACCTAAACCTTTCAGGAAGCAGCAAGATCCCTACACTCTTAAAGGGATCGTTCACACAAATATGAACATTTTGTCATCATTTACTCACCCTCATGTTGTTCCAAACCTCTATGAGTTTTTTTCTTCTGCTGAACACAAAAGCAGATATTTTAAAGAATGTCATAACCAGACAGTTGATGGCACCCATTGACTTCCAAGTTTTTTTTAGTTTTTTTTTTCTACTATGGAAGTCAATGGGTGCCGTCAACTGTCTGTTTACTGACATTCTTTAAAATATCTGCTTTTGTGTTCTCATGCTGGTTTGGAACAACTTGAGGGTGAGAAATGACAAAATTCAGATTTTTGGGTGAACCATCCCTTTAAAAATAAAGTTTCTTTATTGGCATTGATGGTTCCATGGAGAACCTTTAACATCAATGGAACCTTTCCATTCTACAAAAGGTTCTTTATAGTGGAAAAAGGTTCTTTAGATAATTAAAATGTTCTTTACACAAAGAAAAACAAATTATTTGAAGAACTGTTCACTTAAAGGTTCTTTAGGAACCTGCAATATTTCTTCTATGGCATCGCTACGAAAACTCACCTTTGGAACATTTATTTTAAAAGTGTATGGAGGATTTCTTTTGGACTATCAGACCGTGTATACACATACCTGCTGCATGGCTGAAGTTAGCATCAACAAAGCAGAGAAAACTTCCTGAAATCCTAACAAACACGCGTTTAGTCCAATCATCCACCGTCACAGTTAGACCTCCACTGGGTGGATGGCCTGCCACACATAACCTGTCTGCTCCATTAACCTCATGTTTAGGAAAAAAAGTCTCTCTAGATGTGGCTGTGGGGCACAAACCAGACCCTGTCAGCTATACTTCACATCTTCACTGGCCATTAGCACATGCTGCGGCCAAACCTGTTGGCAGGGACCACACACGTACACTCACACTGAAAGAGTGGGGATAAAGAGGCAGGAAAGCAGTGAGAAGCGTGGACCGCCCCACAAAATGAAAAGGGATGTGCCTCTGTGGTCTTCCGAACCGGTCAGGCCAGCTGGAGCCTTCAACAAAAGCAAACAAGGTCATAAAGTGGGTGCAGAAAAGAACGGGCCTGGAGAAGAGCCACTGTGATGTGAGGAAATGTGTGGTACACATGGGTCTGATTCAACAGTTCCTGCACTGTCGGGGAGTGAGAATACAGCAAACAATGTGATAAAGTGCTGCTTTATGAACCACTGTGAAAAACAACTGTCAAAGGGTCATGATTATGAAGCATTAACTTCATTTGAAAAATAAAGTAGTGAAACCAAATCAGTAAGACAGTACAGGCCTTCTCATCATTGTATCATATATGCAATGCCACTCTTTCAAAATGCAAAAAGGTCAAGACGTACCAAGTTTTCTGCATACACATAAACGTTTAAAAAAAAAAAATAAAGTTAACCTCAAGGATGTATTGAATTGATCAAATGTGGCAGTAATGATTTTTACACTGGTACAAAAATGTATATTTTAAATAAACATGACCAAACACATTTGTTTTTCTACCACGATGCAGGCTTTCCATTGACTTCTATTATTTTTATACTGAGCTAATATTTTATATGCACTACCCCTAAACCTAACCCTCACACACAATCCATTTTAACATGTTTATAATGACATCATTTAGCTATTCCCCACCTATGAATTCTACAGGAGAAATGTTAAATATGCACAGTTAAATTAAGTTGTGAAAAAGCCACATTTGTAAACCATAAATGCATCACTTGTTTGACTATTTTAGCTCTTCTTTACAGTAACATCTTTACAAAATCCCTACACCCATTTCCAACCACATTTGCTTAACTATGATAATTGTTTCAGAAATTATGAACATTAACGTTTACTTGTGAGGTCAGAACCCAGTGGAAAGCGTCTCTGCTTCATTCTTCATAACACATGAGCGCTCCCCATGGGTACAGTTAGAGGTTTATTTTGTGCTTGACTTATCGACAGCATACTTCATGCTGATGATTCACTCCAGAGGCCCCTGACACAGTGATTGGACAAGATCAACAGAGACGTGACCCACTGATCTATTCAACCCATCCAGCTGACAACACAAATTCCTCTGGCACGTATGCAAAGCTTACACCAGCATGAGATTTCCAGTCAAAACCTTATCTCACCTTGCTATTTTTTTTTTTTTTTTACATTGCTAGAAAATGCAGCTAAAACCAGCTTAAGGTGGTAGCTGTTTTTCAAAACATTGTACCTGGTTGGTTTCCCAGCTGGTGGAGAAGGACATCAAAGGAACATTCATCATCGTGTGGTGTGTGATCCTCCAGTGTACACAACCTGCTTGCTGTCATATTTGCTCATTCGCACGTTTTGGAGATCATTGCAATGGTTAGCATGGCCCAGTTAACCCCTGCTGCATGCTAGATGTTGTAACTACAGCATCTGACTGCAAAATCTGCTCACTGCAGAGCCAATGGGTGGAGCTGGACATCCAGCCACGCCCTCTCTGAATGCAATGGGTGGAGCTTGAAGATCCAGCCACACCCTAGCCCTGCCCATATCCCTATCCCTAAACTTGAACCTAATTAGGTGAAGCTGGACTAGGTCTCTGCAGTGAGCACCACTTGCAGCAAAAAGCATCTTTCTGCATTGACGGACATTCAAATATATCATAATAATAAATTGCAAAAATTGACAGTAGATTTTTTTTAATGAAATATCTGTGATATATTGCTTGCAAAAATATTTATTTCTACAGCTGAATACATACGCCTATTTGTTATTTGTCTGTTATTTTAATTCAAACACTGTCAATTTTCATGATTTATCACACCTTTTATCTTTTGTCAAATCAACTTAGATAATTAATGTGGTTCAGATAACATAATATTTGGAGTTTCTATTTATTAAACCAATCTCCAATGTATTAACTAAAAATTTTAATTTCAATGAACTCAAAATTTTAAGGCGACCAGGTAACTAACTTTTTTTTTAAGTTAAACCAACAATATATTTTTTTTTACAGTATAAGTGTATTATAATATACATTTATGTGAATGCAATTAGCCACAGTTTATGGAAAACAAACATTTTAAAGACTTGAAAAAATAAACAAAAATAAACTGAACTAACTGAAATAAACAGCTTTAAGTTGAAGTACTAAAATGACAAAATAAAACTGCAATAAATTAAAGTTAAATACAAATATTTATATTTATAAATAATAAAAATGACAAAAGCACATGACAAAATACTAAATAACACTGCTGTTCCAAGCTAGCTTAGCTTAGCTCACACACACACACACACACACACACACACACACACACACACACACACCACTGCTAAGTATTTTCCAAAACACCTAAGCTGATTTTGAAAGCAGACACAGCTAGTAAAGTTATTTGTAATTCAACATTCATATCAACTCACAGTGTTAGAACAGCATTTCCACAGCATATTTGGGTCAAAAGTTTAACAATCCTAAGTAGGGCAAAGCAAAAATTCTTTCTTCAGAGACATTTCTGTAGAACGCACAGAGCAGCTCAGCCATGTGTGGAAAGCTGGAGAATGTGCGAGGATTGCACCAGAGGGAGCCATTAAATCAAGGTCATGTGACGCTCACCATCAGTCCAAAAAACTCTTGGCACTGTCATGCACTGAGATTCACTTGGGAGTCCAACCATATGATTCTGGATCTTTGAATACAAGCCCAGGAGGAACCATGGAGCACAACAGCAAAGGATATTAGCATTGCATCTGAAAACTTAAAACATCACTTATACGAACATGCCATATGGAGAAAGTCTCCTCTCTCAAAACTGTCCCACAGAAGAGTTCATGAGTTTAGATCTCTTGAGTCAATGAAATCATTGGCAAATGCAAATCAAGTATTTTATACATACAGTCCCTCCGCTTTCTCGATGACACTTACAACAAAACACGTTAAGGAGGGGGCTGCAGCGGTTTCAGTCCCAATGAGGCTGCGGTTGAGGGTTTGCCAGAGGGAGGCGTCAGTGTAATCTTTGTGGTCTGGAATGTAGTCATTCTCTTTATGTCCAACTGAGCTTGTTTATTTTTATCTATTGTGAAATAAAGCTGCTTTATTGTGGTCCAGTTAAGTTGCCATTTCGTCTCAGTAACTGGTTCAATGTCTCACTGCATGAACCTTGTCAAATCTCAGCAACAAAGCTACAATGGCCTGTTTTAATGACTCAATACAGTCTGTATTTTTATTGTTTTGCCTGTTTAACCGCATTGCTTATAAAGGGTTCTCATTTCAGGGTGACCATACAAAGCCTGTTAAATCATTTCTTGTAATTTTGGAAAAAATATTTAAAATAGACATGTCTGATGTTTATAAATCATGTCTGCATCCTTTTACATTCTTTATGCAGAATGCTTTAGAACTGCAGTCACAGCCTCACCATCTTTGTTTTTGCAGAAGGCTGAACAAATTTGACAGCTGATTTACTAAAATGTCCATTACACAATGTGCAGTGCTTGAATGCAAAGTCACGTTTGATAAAAGTGTCTGCAAAATGCATAAATGTACAAAAGGGGCTTACTGCATGGTATCCAACAATACAATATACCAAAGTCCTTTTGTGTCTCTATATACCGGTAAATTGTCTCTGAATATACTCAGTTAAGACTAGAAATTGTATTAGCTATAAGTTTATGATATCTCCTTCCAGATTATTTAAGACTGCCAAGTTATGTCAAAAGTGTGTGTGTGTGTGGAGCATTTAATCACCCGAAAATCAAACATAATACACCCCTTATGCATGTTATCACGTCTGTCAAAAACTTAGACTGGCTGTCAGTTTGAATATTAGAATTAAAAACATCGGCATAACACACTTATTGGCATGAATCCCTTCACTTAATGGCCTTGCCGGCCAAGAAATAAGCAATTTTAACCTTACGATCCATCTGTTTTCAAATTCACATCATTCGAACATCACAACATCGATGTCTGTCAAAAATAACGTGCACAATACACAGTAGTATTTACGAGAAGCAGAGGTCCAGCGAGTGTATGCATTTCCTGGAGAACCCACACTAGCGGCTGACAGGATTTCAACATGCGGTCTCAACGCATTCTCATCCCAAGGCGTCATATACTGACGCTTTTGCCAAAGCGTCTACATCCGACGCACATGGCTGTACCAGTTACTGTACGTTCACACCGCCGCCGACTTGAGCCGTCAAAGAAGCTCTGGCCGCCCTGTCAAGGACGCTTGTCAAAAAGTACGGGGAAGCTTGTTGACGCTTTGGACGCTTTGAACGCTCTGACGTTGCAGGGAGAATAGAAGTGTCACAACATAAAATGTAATAAACAGAAAAAAACTAGCAATACATTAAAGAAACCTTTTATAATGACAGCATTTTTATAACCGTTTTGGTCACATTTGGTCGGGGAAAAAAATAATAGAACTATTATTATTATTATTATTATTTGCGGTCAAATCGGTGTCACCGTGAGCAAATGAATTGCATTCCCGCTTTAAAACGAGCGATCGTAAATATTTCAAATAAAAGTTGCGCTCTCATGGTCCCTATAAGCAAACAACGTCATGTCATAAATGATAGGAAACCCAGCAACGGCGATTATTGGCTTCTCTTCCATTTTCTCGGAACTAATGTTTTGGTAGGAACGAAAGTTTACATCGTGTGTTTCTCCGGAATCAGCCAGCGCCAGGGACGTCTATATTCCGATTGGTTGCTGGCGTTTTGCCGCTGCTTGCCGCTGAACCGCGTCACAGCTCATTACCATAAAGTTGAGCTTCTTTCAACTTTCTGATTGACGCTCAAGACGCTCAAAACGCCCAAAACGCGACGCCGAGGGATTTGACGCTCCTTGCAGCTGAGAGAAGCCAGTGTGACGGTCTTGCCTGGGCGGTCTTTCTGCTGGGTGGAGCTGCACAATGGAGATATAAACGTGGAAATAGGGGTTTCACTTTAAGGAGAATGAATCAGTTCCACAGCATGTCTCGTTATCTCTGCTCTGTTTATTTAAAACAGTACTCTTTCTTTTTTTAATCTTTTTTTGTGTTGTGATCGTATAGTGAGTACAATTTTGCAGACTGACAATTATAATACATTTTCACTGAATTAATCACAAATCAACTCAATGAAATGATGAACATCTCAATTAAAATAAATGTAAAGAGAAATATTCCCACCTAGTGGTGAATATACACAATACTACAAAAATTAAACAATTAATCCATTAAACACATTATAACAACATATTTTATACACATTACCTGCACAATGGAGATATAAACGTGGAAATAGGGGTTTCACTTTAAGGAGAATGAATCAGTTCTACATAAAACACAAGACAATGCACAAATTAATTACGATTGTGCCTCGTAATACAAAGTCGGAATAACTCAATATAAAATAACACACTCGACGCCAAACACATATCAAAGGTTGCCTAACAAGTTCATTGTAAGATCAATTCACAATAAAGCAGTTTTTTATGTGTTTTGGACACTTTTAACTGATAATTCTCCGACTGCTCGAAAAGTGCAACTTACCCACAGCATGTCTCGTTATCTCTGCTGTGGGCGGTCCCTATTCCGTGCACTAAATGCCATCACGCATCAGCCAGATGGCGCTGTCCCCATTTATGCAGTAATTTAACATTTTACACTCCGTTACATGCACCCCCCTTAAATTATGCTAAACTGGGGAAGCGCCTGAACAATAGAATACAACACAAGAACCAGAAAAGGAGAAAAAAACAAAGATGACTGGAAAAGAGAAAAGGTGTGAAACTCCTTGACACATTGCAGCGTACATATCAATTACAAAATTCCTCCATAGGAAGTATGCAAGTATGGACTGGCACCAAAATCCAGACTTAACATAGACTAAAGAGATGCCCTAAACACCTCTCTTCACATACACAATTCAAGGATTGAAATTTTTCTTAAGAGACAAAATCTCCACTCAAAACGAAGTCCGACACATAATTTACCCATGAAAAAGGCTTTTCACAACATCAAAAAGAGAAATCACTGGGGATGGTGAATCATGCACAACCTGACTATTCATCTCACAGATCAATCTTTGTGGAGGTTTAATGGTCCTACCAGCCCTAGTACTGAGTGTGCCTGTCTGAAAGTGTTTTGGTTGATTGCAAATTACAGGGTCAACTGTATCCGGAACAGGGTTATTGACTACATGTGAAAGTGGAAAAACTGGTGTTGTCAAGGAGTGCTGAGAGGAACTCTGATCTAACTCATCGTCAGTAGGTAGTCCTAACAAATGCGGGACGTCACATTCCAGTTCACTGCGTACAGAGCGGTCACAGATATCAGAGTCTGCCTTCGAATTGGAATTATGTACATCCAAAGAACACTGAACTCTGGACAAAGCAACGGAGTCACTGTCATTATCAGGGCAGTCGTGCAGATCAGACTGCATAACCCAGTGAGCCGTTCTTGCATCACTCTCAGGAAAATCAGGTAAGTTTGCAGTAGAATTACTTGAATGCGACTTAGATGGTAAATCGACTTCATCTTTGTACAGGAAGTTAACAGGGAGTAAGAGATTCCGGTGCACAATCTTTTCTCTGCCTGTTTCAGTGTCTCTTATCCGATAGACATTAATGGGTGATCTCACTGACATCACTTCGTAGAGGTTGGACTCCCATTTGTCTGCAATTTTCCGTTTGCCACGCTCACCACGATTTGCCAGAAGGACTCTGTCGCCCATGGTCAAAGGTGATCCCCTCACTTTCCGATTGTAGATCCTTGCATGACGGGTCTGCTCAGTTGAACTGTACTTCTGTGCAATTTTCGCAGCTTCACCAAGGTCACATTTAAGCTTGGATACGAAATCTGAATACTTAACAACAGCATCATCCCTCAGAACATGTTGGAACATCACATCGATTGGAAGACGCGGAACTCTCCCGAACATCAGATAGAAAGGCGCAAAGCCTGTGGTCTCGTGAACGGTGCAGTTATAACAGAATGTCAGCATCTGCAAAGACTGTGGCCACTTGGCTTTGGACTGGGGAGGTAAGGCTCTTATCATGTTCCCTAAGGTTCTGTTGAAGCGTTCAGTGATCCCGTTTCCCATTGGGTGGTAAGGGGTGGTGTGTGATTTATTGACACCCGCCATATTCAGCAACTCCTTCATCAGTTTGCTCTCAAAACTTGGACCTTGATCTGAATGCACACGCCTAGGGAATCCATAAATGCAGAAGAGACCGTTCCATAAATGATGAGCAACCTGCTTTGCAGACTGGTTCTTACAGGGAAAGGCGTAGGCTAATTTGGTGAAATGGTCCGTTGCTACCAGGACATCCACACTCTTATCACCCTGCTCTGCTGTCCAAAAGTCAATGCAGATGAGTTCCATCGGCTCAGTGGTGCGTATGTTCTCAAGGGGAGCACGATCTTTCGGTTCAGGTGTTTTGCCTACAATACATCGCATGCAGTTCCTCACATAATTCACTATGTCGTATTCCATACCCGTCCAAAAGAACCGTTGTCTGGCCAATGAGAGAGTCCTGGAGCGCCCTTGATGACCAGCCACATCATGCAGACCATGAAGCACTTGTTGTTTTAAAGCATCTGGGACAATGAATTGATACAACTTCTTGTTCATTTGATTGTCTCTTTTGACTTTAAAAAGCATGCCATCTCTGATGATAAGTTTAGTCCAATGCTTAAGAAGCCGCAGGACAGTACGAGGCTCACTAGCACGTTCACGCTTGTCAGGACGTCTGTGTCTCTGAACGTAAAAGAGTGCTCTACTCACAGCAGTATCCTGTTCTTGTGCGGCTGAAAGTGTGCTCACGTTGAGTGCAGGAGTCTGGTCCACATCGAGGAATTGCTGGATAGATTCCACGCCCATGAATTGCCCTACACCACCAGAAGA